GTAATGCCAGGAGAGAGAGGGCCAGTCAGCATTAATGTCTGTTGGTGGGAAGAGGCTGAAGTCGGGGAGCCAAGAGAACTGAGTTGCAGTCATTGCGCTTAGGGTTATTGGGCTCTGCGACCCGGTTGTCCTCTCCGCATCCATGACCAGCGCAGTGGTGCTACATGGATGGGCTGTTAGAAGGTAAAACAGGTTTCTTTTTTTAAGTGACAAAAATACAAATACAATGAAAAGGTTACTCTTCATCACCCCCCGAGTAACAAGACTTCATTCCGCTCTGCCTGAGACCACATCTGCAGACTCGGGGTCTGGGGGCGGGTTTTGCACAGACGGGGGCCTGTTTTGTGCTGCATTTCCCGCACAGTGCTCAGGCCGTGGGGGCAGCAGTTTGGCTGCACGTGAGCACGGCGTTTCCCGCTCATCATTGAATTGTTGAACTGCACTGCCGTCAGCATCCTCGTGCGTCCCGCGTGCTGATGGTTTTGCTGTCCGTTGAGGCGGTATCCTCTAATCTGGGAAGAAAATGGAATGTAGTCTGTGTTCAGACTGGGCTGGGGCATAATTAAGAAAGCTGCGCTGGTCCAGGTGAAGAAAGCTGGGTTTAAAGACTGTTCTGTCACTTACTCTTGGCTCTGGGACCTTGGGCTTATCACTTAACCTTTTGGCTGTAGGGATCAGAGTGGATAGTACATTGAGTCACTTCCAGGACTAGTTTTAAAGGTCTTTTATTCCCGTGCACATCCCCCAAACCTCCCCGTCTCTGCTGCTTCTCCAGGCATTTCCCTCTTCCTGGAGGGGATCTGGCATGCCCACTCCCGGCTCCACACGCCCACCTCGGACCTGTCCTTCAGAGCCCCTCTGCACGAAGCCTTTCATGGTTTCCATTCCCCGAAGCTAGAAATGTCCACCTATGCCGAGCCTCCCACGGCACAGGGTTCCTCTTTTACCGCTTTTAAATCCAGACTATAGTTATTTGGCATCTTTTTTTGCACGATAGTGAGTACCCTGTGGCGAGGTGTCTACCGTGCCCGTCCGTCTGCCCTTGTGCTCGGCAGCGGCTCCGGGCCTCCCCTCTGAGACTGGCTGCTCCGCATCGGCCTGTGGTGGGAGGCCTGGAGGGGGTCGCTCGGGATGGAGGAAGAGGCGGCGGCAACGCAGCTCGAGGCCCCCGATTGATACACTTGTTCAGGCCTGTGGGATGGGAGGTTTATGAATAGCTTCTGTGTGTCGTACATGATTTGCTCTTATTACATCCAGGGGGAATCCGTTCTCCCCGTAACAAGTCAATAGCAAATAGTCTTAATGGTCCCAGATTTCAAAATTCATGCCTGTGACTTGTGCGGACTTTGGACCAGGCCCACCCCTCGGCTGCTGTGCACGGCCACAAAACAGAAGAACAACGGCCAGAACCTGGAAGAGGACGTGGGGCACAGTGAGCAGAAGACAGACCCCCCCTCCTCGGAGAAGACACTCCTGGAGGAGAAGGTCAAGCTGGAGGAGCAGCTGAAGGAGGCTACGGTAAGGCCAGCGGGCCCTTGGGGGAGAGCGAGTGCAGTCGTCTGCCCAGGAACGACAGCTGGGTCCTAGAGCAGGTTACTGCTAGAGGAACTAGAACGCGAGTCCTCTGTGGCCCTGGTTCTGTCTGAGACTCATCTTCACACACTGCGGGGACTAGACTGAATTGAGACTTAAAAAGGTCTCGGCAGATGAAGAAGACTCGGCACGCTGGTTCAGCTGGGTCTGAGGGCACGGCCGGGTGCGGAGGTCGGGGCTTTAGAGCTAGTCGGTAGTGAGGACCGGCCCCCTGCGTGACACAGCACAGGTGGCAGAAATCTGTTCAGGGTTTGGGAATGACAGTATCAGACACCTGTCACGTGCCGACACCGTCCTGACACCCATCCTATGAGTTCCCTGGTAATATCCCTGTTCACAGAGGAGGAAACTGAGGCACAGAAAGGCTGAGTAAGCTTCCTCGGGTCACCTGGTGCCACGCACCAGGGCCAGGGCCTGAGCCCTCCCTGGCCACCTGGCCCTTAACCACGGAACAGGAGCTGCCCGGGGGACGGCTGGAAGCAGACGGGGTGTAGGCCGCTCCCCTCCAGAGGACGCCGGTACAAGTCACATGTAGAAGTGCTCGGGGGTGAGCGAGGTTACGTTAAAGGGGGGAGGGAGGGCGCTCCCGTGATTCCGGTGGTTACACGGGAACTGTAACCGAGCCGCGTCTGGGCAACGGTAAATACACCCAGGTGTCATTGGTGGGCTTTTCTCTCTGCGCTGAGATAAAGGCCGAGTCCGTGCAGGCGTGTGGTTCTCCTCGACCTCCAGGCGCGGGAGCCGCAGCGAGTTGGCTCGAGCCGGGGTGCTGGGAGTCCCCAAAGTCAGGAACTCTGCCCCGGAAGTGAATGGCCCTTCCTTGAGGAATGATGAGGCCGCAGGGACCCGAGGAAGTAGTTTTTCTTCTTCCCACGGCTGTCCACTGAGTAAGCGTGGCCCTGGGGGCCACATAAGTAGCTGTCACCTTGACATCTCACTCCCCGCTCGTTAGAAACAGTGACACAGGTGTAACTTACTCTTAGTTAAGCCACAGCTGTTTGTAGTCCAAAATCTCATACGCCGTAACAGATGTTTGTATTTTGACATGGAGTTTGTTGCATCGAATGGCTCTCCTATGAATTTGTTCCACACTTTATTCACTTAAGTTTCCTTTTTTTTTAGGAGAAATACAAGCGAGCTTTGGCAGATACTGAGAACTTGAGGCAGAGGACCCAAAAACTGGTGGAAGAGGCAAAATTATATGGTAACTCCCAGTGTCACATGGTGCTGGTGGGGGAAGACACGGGCCCGGGAAGCCAGGTGGGGGTGCAGGCAGGCGCACCAGACAGCACGCCCATCCGGGGGGGCGGGGGCTGCTAAACATGCAGCCCCTCCCTCATCCTTATTTTTACCCTCACCAGAGGACATGCTTATTGATTGTAGACGGGGGAGGGGCAGAGAAACACTGATTGATTGCCTCTCGCACAGGTCAGCTGGTGTCCAAGCCCCAAATTCAGGCATGTTCTGACCAGAAATCGAACCCACAACCTTTCAGTTTGCAGGATGACGCTCCCACCAACTGAGCCACACCGGCCAAGGCGCCCCTCCCCGTTTTAAGATGTGTCAGCAGTAAAGTCTGTGAGGGCAGGCGCTGGGGTGGTGACTGGCGTTCGGAATTGCAAGCAGGGTCCCTTCAGCGGGGGGGTGTTCGCTGCTCCTCCACAGAGACCGCACTGAGACCCGGCTGGTCTGCCCATCTGGCGTCCATTCCCTTAGCATTACCGGCAGTGACACTGATGCCACTTAAGTTCTCCTAAAATGCTGAGTTTGAGCATTTGTCACTGTCCTTCCCATTCCACAGTTGAGATCGTTGAGGCTTAAGTGACTTGCACTCGTCACGTAGCTGGTAAGCATGGCCCAGCGCTGCCGCTCCGCCAGCGTGCGCGTGCCCGGGGGCCAGCCGTGGGGCAGGCGCTCCCCCGCATGCGCCTGAGGAGCAGCCGCCCAGGTGCAGTCGCTGCAGCAAGAGGGGCCTGGGGGCGTGGGCCCCAGTGGAGTGCCGTTGTATGCCTGACTCCATTCGGCATCTGAAGCATCCTGTGGAAGCCGCAGAGATTACGTAACACACCGTCTTGAGTGGCTTTCCTCATGTCCTGTCTACTGTTGGACTAAGGGGGCGGCTTGGGGGTGTGCCTTGGGCGCTTTCAGCTCACGGTGCTTTCAGCCCACGGCGCCTACCGGTTGCCGCCCTGCAGTGGTGCTTGTGCCGTGGTGGGCACTCCCAGCGCTCAGGGCTGCCCTGGGCGGGCGGCTACCGCCCCTGCTCCGTAACTGAAGGAGCGGAGGCGCAGGCTGCCGAGATCACACAGCGGCTGAGTGACCGCCGGGGTGCGTCCCCAGGCTCCTTGCAGTCAAGGGGGGCGGGGGGCCCTGCCGGACGGACGAGCCATTTCCCGGGCTGCTGGCTGTGAGACAGTTCTGACATTTCCAGCTGCCAGTCTTCACCCCTGATGAGCTCCTGTCTCAACTCAGTTTTGGTTTTTCTGTATCTTTTTCAGTCAAGCCACTGAAGTGGCAGCTTTGAGTTACCCGTTCGGTTGATACGGACAGAATGCAAATGTTCTTCTCTGACTCTGTTTAGGCATTCAGGCCTTCTGCAAGGACTTGTTAGAGGTGGCAGACATTCTGGAGAAGGCAACGCAGTCTGTCCCCAAGGAGGAGATTTCCGAGGACAACCCCCACCTGAAGAACCTCTACGAGGGGCTCGTGATGACCGAGCTGCAGATCCAGAAGGTGTTCACAAAGCACGGCCTGCTCCGGCTGGACCCCGTGGGCGCCAAGTTCGACCCCTACGAGCACGAGGCCCTGTTCCACGCGCCGGCGGAGGGGCAGGAGCCGGGCACGGTGGCGCTGGTGAACAAAGTAGGCTACAAGCTGCACGGGCGCACCCTGCGGCCGGCCCTGGTGGGGGTGGTGAAGGGGACCTAGCCCCCCGCGGGACTCGGGGGGGCACGGCAGTCTCCCGCCCTACCTCTGGAAGGGCTGGCGCGGCTGGTCTCCCTCGGGCCCTTCCCACACCTCGGCGGAAAGCCGTAGTGACCGTAGCTGGACGAGGGAAACGAGGCTGGCGGCACAGCTGCGCTCCTGGGCTGTGGCCCGGGAGCCTGTCTGGGGACTTTCCGGTGCCTGTCCGCTGTTCACGCGCTCACAGCACAGGCCGAGGGACGCCACTGGGCCTGGCAGTGTCGCGAGTCATGCTGTATCTGCTCCGGTGGCTTCAAACTATTTTAAACAAATAAAAGGTCTTGGGGACTCGTGCTGTCTCGCTAGCGCGGCGCATCCTCTGCTGCTCACGGCAGCGAGCGCTCGGCCCCACTGCGTGGCGCTCAGGGAGCGGAAACCCTGTGTGTCCTCGGTGAAGAGCGTGGGTGAGTTTGGTCACGATTACCCTCCGGCCGCCGGGAAAGAGCGACTTCCGGCTTCTCTCTGGAGGTGTGACGTGAGCGTAGGAACCTCGGTGGTTCTCACGACCCTCCTCTGCCGGCAAGAACCGGATGGTCGGTTTCTGCTGTCTGTTCATCTCCTCGTAGAAAAGCGTAAGTCTTGGCTCACCCAGATACTAACGATCTAAAGGGCTCCCCCCCTCCCCCGCCGTGAGATGGACTTCCTCAAAATCCAAGGACTGCCATTTCCTCAAACTCCACGAATTTCAAATGTTGATGTTTTGTTTTTAAATTTAAGAGGATTAAAGCCCTATCGTTTGTCTTCCTACTTTCTAGTAACTACCCTGTGTACCTGGGTGTGCGGGCGCAAAGGAAAGCGCGGCTTAGCGCTCCCGTCCCGTGCTCGCGCCCTGCAGCCGGGTGCCTGGCGCGTGAGCAGACACGAGTCCGCTCGTCTGGGACACGTGCGGGCTGCGTGCCTGGTCTGCTCAGGGGGGACACGCCTGCCTGAGGGCCGGGACGGGGACCGCAGCCACTCGGGAGCTGCAGCAAGAGGTCTGGGCCGCGACTCTCGCCATAGACCCTCCGTGTCTGTCACCGACAAAAAGAACCCCGTGGCCTCTGCTTCTGAGGGGCGCTTCTTGGGTTGAAGGTCAGTACTGCTCAGTCCGTTACGGCATAGAAAGGAGGGGGCAGTCCTTTTGCCTTGCTTACAACTTTGGAAAATACCAGTAGTGTTTCCATAATGAAAAATTTAAGTGCATGCAATTCCAAAGCATTTTTCCTCCTGTATTTGGTCAAAGACACACCCCAGAACTGAAGGCGGCCCGGCCTCCCACGATGAGGAGCGAGACTGGGACTGGGGGCTCATTTTCAGTGAGTCCCGTGAACCTGGGCGGTCCCCCTTCCCACCGGGGCTGCGGGTGCCAAAGGGCTCTCCCCGAGACACGGGGAGCCAGCCCTCACCGAGCGCCGCCATCACGGCTCTCGGAGCACAGCCGTGCACAGCCCGGCCTCGGCGTGTCTGTGGGTTCCGTGACCTCAGGGAAACTGTGTGTAATGAAACCAGTTCTGCCAGAGGCCAGCTGATGGAGACGAGTCAGCCTCCTACAGCCGCTCGACCACCGTGACAACGCGTTCAAGGACCTGCCACGCACACGCTGGGAATTAACAGCTGTTCGCGCCCCGTGTTTCCAGGGTTGGCACCGGCGCAGCCTGGACACGCGTACGAGGCCGCCCCGAGCCCGCCGTCAGTGGGACGACAGCCCTTCCCAGCCCAGCCGGCTCTGATGGGGGCGCTCGGGGAGGGAGGGCTGGCCTGGCCCGGAGGGTTCCTCCCTACCGTAAAGGTCACGTGCTGTCCTGCCACCCCCCCCCCCACACACACACACCCAAGTTTGAAAGCGGGCTCTGGAAAGCTGCCTGGGGCTCGGGGAGCAGGCAGGTGCTAAGAAGCAGTCCGTGACACTTTGGTTCTCAGCTTGTTTAATGAGGGAGACGGCTGGGCCTCAGTGCCAGCGCTCTCTCGGGACGCTGGCCATCCGGGGGTGCCGAGAACGGCTGACTACAACGGAACTGACTCAGAAGTCGGGGCGTAACTCTTGAAAAGACCTAACTCTGTGGGGTTACGACAGCTGACGAAGAGCAGAGAAGCGGAGAGGCTCCGCGCGCAGCAAGATTAAGGACTGACGGGACAGTGTGACAGTCGTGGCCAGGGCTGGGGAAAAGGCAGCCTAACCGGGGACTACTTCCCCTGGCCACAAGGTGTCAGCACTCAGCGTAAGTCAATTACACATTCATCGCGGTGTCCGAAACAGTCCAGCCTAAATAAACTCTTCATCAAAAGATAAACATCCCGAAGGGCTAACGCAGTTTCCCACTTGACTGCTCCTGGCCCGGGCCACGGTCACGGGGGTGCTCTGCTTCTCACGTGTAATGAGTGTGTGGCAACCCTTCCACACAGAAGAAAGACTGAATTTAAAACCTCACAGAACCCGGCATCTGACGGAAAATCCACCCAAGGTGACACCAGGGCAGCCAGAGACACTGGTTCCCCGGGCAGCTGGTGCCCAGGTCACCCCAGGGCTTGCACGAGGGACTGGGCGGGCCCTGCCCCTGGTCTGACTCAGGACCGGGCAGCTGAGTCTGCGATTTGGCAGGCTCCCCAGGGGAGGGAGCGCTGCTGGTCCGGGACCCCGGGTGAGAACCACTGGCTCAGGAGCCTGTAAAACCACAGCAGCGGCCCCCGGCTGCTGGGTGGCAGAGAGGACCGCCGTCAGGGGCTGTGGAGGCGGCCCCCGGGAGAACGCCACCGCTCCGTCTCGCCAGAGGGAGGTGCGGGGCTTAGTTAACGAGGAGCACTTCCCCGCCAGCCAGCGAGGCCGTGCGCTTGACGCCTGAAGCGTGCGCGGCACATGTGAGATGTTTTGTTTAATGCTGGAACACCGACCCTAGGGGAAAGATGTAGAACGAAAGGAAAAGGCACCGTAATTAAGTTGTCCTTGGAAATGATGAGGGTCTTTTTTCTTTCAAACGACTTCACTTTAATGTAACTTCCAGCTCAAACACCCGGGAGGTCAAGTCTCGGAGTCACTGCGGGCGGAGGGCCGGCCCGAGTGCCGGGTCTGGGGGCACTCCCCCGACTCCACCCACAGCAGGGGCTTGGACGTCAGAGCCCTGAGCAGCCCGGAAGACGAGGGGCTACCCCAAGTCCCAAAGGACGGTACCGTACAAGAGGGCCCCCGAACACCGCCCAGGGCCGGGCAGAGCCGCGTCGGAGCCTGGCTCAGCAGTGACCCGGAGAAGCGGCTCACGCAGGGCCCGCAATGGCCACGTGGGCCGCCCCACCTCCCCTGGCCGGTCTGCAGGGCGCCCGGGGCCACCCGAAGTTCAGATGCTTCACCAGGACCGTCTGGTCAGGGTTTCGGCGAACAGGGCACTTGCAGCCGTGACGCAAGTCCCGGAGGCCGCCGTGCCGCAGCTGCGAACTCTGCCGGGGACTCCCCAAGGGAAGGCCCTGCGAGTGCCTGAGCGGCCTGCGGCTGCCCCCAGGGAGGGCCCCGCGTCCTGGCAGTGGCGTAGGCCCTCCGGCCGCCAGGCCTCCCCGCAGCGCCCTTTCTGCGCCGGGGGCGCTGCCGAGGGCCCGTCCATTCCCAAACGGAGCCGGCAGGGACCCGCCAGAGTGTGCCGGGCCAGGGGCACGTTCAGGGTCTGGGAACTGCAGGCTCAACACCCGGCCCTGCCAGCAGGTAGGGGAAGCTCACGTAGTCACTGTGCTCACCACCGACCTCTTCCTCAAGTTCCAGGGACCCCTCCTCCCACCCCCCAGGCCCCCAGCCCGCCCACCCTGCCGGCCCCCATGTAAAGTGCCGTGTGCCGGGGCGGGCGGGCGCCTGGCATGCTGGGTGGGGCTGGCACACACCGTGTCCCGAAGGGCAGGGCTCACAGAAGGCCGCGGCCCGGTCTCGTCACGGCTCCGAACCCAGCACACAAAGGCCGATGGTCCTCTTCACGCATACTCTGAGGACTGGGGTACAATGCATGTGCGCCTGTCTCCCCCGTGACCTCAGACAGTCACTACCGCTTCTCTCGGAGGACCGTGAAAGAGCGTGCGCCCTAGAAGAGAAGCTGCCGGAAAAGGACGACGGGCGGGGGGCGAGAGGCTGCCCCGCCCCGCCCCGCCCTGCAGTCCTCCCGTCCCACGGGCGCGGCGGGCACCAGCCTCAGGAAGCATCCCTGGATATCCAGCCGCTCTCCGTGAGGAAATTCAAAATCCTTTTCTTCAGGACCTTGTCCAGGTAGCTGGGCAGGCGGCTCTTGGAGGGGATCCCCTGTCGCTTCTGCAGGTGGTCCTTGATGATGATGGTCTTGGCGGTCACGTAGCGCGCGGGGCTCAGGCTGAGGGAGCTGCACAGCGCCTTCTCGCGGTCGGACAGCAGCTCGAAGCCCGGCAGGTGCTCGATGGCGGCGAACTCGCCGTCCTTGGCGTCCTCCCGCCCGCGCTTGGCGCCCGCCGCACCCCGGTTCTCCTTGCGCTTCTCGCGCTTGTGCCGGGCCGCCTCGTACTCGGCCGACTCCTCCATCTTGGTGATGCCGTTGCGCCGGTAGCGCTGCAGCTCGCGGATCTTGGCGCGCAGCACCTTCTCCTTGTGCATGTTCTCGAACAGGTCGTCGAACTCCTTGCAGGACATGAACTGGTACAGCGGCCGCAGCTTCAGCCGCAGCTCGCGCTCCTCCTTGGTGACCTTGCGCTTGGCTGCCCTCTCCCTGTCCTTCTTGTCCCTGCCCAGGAAGGCGGGCACCAGGTTGTAGTCGCGGGCGATGTTCTTGCGCCGCTGCCTCTCCCGGAGCTTCCGCACGTACATGTCCACGTGGGCGCGCTTGAGCTCGATCTCCACGTCGTCGTCGTCGTAGTTGACCGAGAGCCCGCTGATGAGCGTCTCGGCGTCCTGGTCGTACTCAATCTCGTAGTCGTCCCGCAGCGGCATGTAGCCCAGCTGCTGCTGCTCGGCCACCGAGATGTCTAGGGGAGGCAAGGGGGTGGTGAGGCTGGGAGACAGGGGGCCTCCACTGGGGCAGGTGTGGTCTGTCACCCGGTTGGGGATGGTGTCGGGGATGCAGGCCTTCCCCAGGTTGCCGTGGATGTACATGCTTACGTAATGCTCCATCACTTCCTGGGGAGTCCGGGAAGCTCCGACGTGAGCGGCCATGTCTTCCTGCAAGGACAAAGGTCAGAGTCACTTCCAAAGTCAGAGGGTCAGACTCGGGGTTCACACAAACTCCCCGAACGGTTTCCCACAGGCTGCCCGGGCCACTTCCTGCCGCCGTCCCTGCCCCTCCCAGAGACGGCCCACCGCCCCTCCCCTCGGGCCGGGCTCACCGGCCAATGCCAGTGCCAGTCTGCACCCAACAAAGTGAAGACCCCGCGAGGCGCCACGTCCCCCGGGGTCACGGCGCGAGCTGGCAGCAGAGCTGAGCCCACAGCCCCCATCCGAGGTCTGGACTGGCCCCCTGGTTCCCACAGCAGGACGGGCAGGGCCTGCCCGGTCCTGGCATTTCACCCCCACGCTGACCCTGTACTGGGGGGCGGGGGGGGGGGGGCAGGTGCAGGGGGCGTGGCCACAGAGCCCCTGGGTGCCCCACTGCTCCCAGCCCCACCTGTGCTCACAGTTCATGGCCCAGGTCTCCTAACTACGGAAGAGACCCCGTTCTGCCCTGCTGTCTGCCCCCGGGGACAGGAAGGGCCACCCTGTTCCTCTCCCCGGTGGTGGTGTAGGGAACAGGTGGTTGCCTTCTAAAGGGGCTGGGGGCTCCATTTCTGACGGCCCCGCCCTCCGTCGGCTGGGAAAACCGGCCGGGCCGCAGGCGCACGCTCCCGCAGGAAGGCCGCCGCGAGCACCAGGGTTATTAATGGGAGGAAACAGCACGAGCCCCTCAATCTTTTCCTTCTGCCAAGAGGCCTCTTCCTCCAGCCGACCGCTAAAGCCACTTCAGAACGTGGCCGCCCACAGGGCGCGCTCACCCTCCAGCAGCCGCTCCGCGCCCCGCCGCAGCCTCCGCCCAGCCCCCACCCCCCGCCCCACGCCCTCGGCGAGCGGCCCTCTGCCCGGCACGGCTCCCCTCTGTGAGAGCGGGTGGTCCCTGTGCCCCTGACGGCCCAACGGGATCCCCCGACACCAGCCGGTCCGTGCGGGCAGGGCTGGGACAGGCGGGCACGGGGGGGCCCTCGCGGTGCGGCGACCAGACCCCAGGTCCGGGCCCTGCCGGGGCCCACTGGGGCCTGCGGGCGGGGCCGCCGTGCGGAGAGGGGGGCCGGGGCTAAAACCGGACCCCGGTCTTACGGGGACGCAACGTCCGCATGCTTTCCCACGTCAGACAGTCACACAATCGTCAAATCTGTTCATTGGGTTTTCCCAGGAAGCATTTAATCAAAAAAGTGAAAACCAAATCACAAGCATTCCCAGCATCTACTGCCGCTCCGTGAGACCCAGGCTGGCCGCCTCTCGCCCCTGAGCGCCCCGCGCCGGGTGGCGGCCACAGGCACGGTCGAGCCGAGCCCACAGCTTCTGCTGAGCTGCAGCCCCCGGCGGACCCAGAAGCCGGTCTCCGGGGAGCCTCCCAGGCAGGATGCCGGGCGCAGACCACAGATGCACGGTCAGGAGCTCGGGCCCCGGCCTCGCCCTCCCTGGTCCAGCGAGAAGACCGCCAACAAGTCCGAGGCTCCCCCCGAGCCTCAGCCGTCTATCTGCCTTTCCCAAGTTACCGGCTGCTCAGGGCACCGCGTCGGGGCGACACTTAAATCCAGAAAGAACAGGTGGACTCGGAGTAATGCAGGAGACCTGACCAAACAGAGACGACGTGTTTGTGTTTTTTCAGTCACTTCCACCAACTTCCACACTCTGGGGAGCCTCAGGGCTGGGCCAGAGGGGCGGGTGTCACGGGCTGGCACTGCCACCCTCCCCCACCCAGCGCCCTGAAGGCTGCACCCCAGCTCCTGGCCGGGGCGGCAGGTCAGCCAGCTGAGGACGCCGTGCTGACACCCAGGCTGCCCAGTCCTCTGCAGGTGACAAAGGGGACTCTGCTCTCTGTCGGCATTCATGCAGCCGCCAACCAGAGGAGCACGTGTGTCACCAGGACCCCAGGACACCTGCGTCAGTCAGCCTCAGGCCTGGCCTCCAACAGCCCGAAAGGCCCCACGCGGAGCCAGGCCATCAGCCACCTCCGCAAGACCGCCCTCCGATGACACGTCAGAGCGGCCCGGGACAGCACAAGGCCTAGCTCTCAGGGCCCGAGAGATGGGGCGAGGGTCACGATGGACCAGTCTTAAACAAGAATGGCTACAGAGCTCGGATTCGAACCAGAATCCACAGAGGACAGACGGTTCCGTGAAGCGGAACTGTGGTGAGGAAGACACTTAAAAAGACGACGAAACCAGCACCGGCTGCCGGGCACGCGGCCGTCACGTGCCGCAGGTTCTCCCCAGTCCCGTCACGGGCCGACGGCCACGCCGCAGCTGCCTGCTCCCGGGGGAGAGGCGTCCTGTCCCTGCGTCATGGCACCACCCAGGACAGCAGACAGCTGAGAGCACAGCTCTCCCCTCACCCACCCCGAGGTCAAAGTGTCTGCTCGATCTGGATGGACGGGGAGGCAGGAGCCACGGAAGTGTGTTGGAGGGAAAGAGGCCCAGAGAGAAGGTTCCAGCACAACTGAGACAGGAAACACCACTGCACGCCGACGCGGGCGCCCCTCCGCGGCCCCCAGTCCCAGCCCGGGCCGGCCGGCGGCAGCGCCCTCCTCCAGGTCTGGTTCCTCGTCCACGCTCTCTCAAAGGGGGAGACAAGACTTCCCGTCTTCGGAACAAGAGAGCGAGAAACAGCTATGTTGCCTCTTTAGACCCTCCGACGAGAAGGGCAGCCGTGTTTCCGACCAGGCGAGGCCCACGGGCTCCACATTCCAGGGCACCGCCCTCAGGCCGGGACGCGGCCTCCCCAGGGACGGCGGGGAGCTCCCCACAAAGGAACGAAGGAGCAACCACGCCAGGTCCTCCGGCTGCTCCGGCCCCTGAGCAGGGGAGGGAGCGCACAGCCCCGATCAGCGTCCCTCGGGCGGGGCAGCCGCCTCCCCGGCGGGGCCGCTCAGCCGGGCCGCCCGCCATGCACCTGACCCGGACGTCTCCACACCCGGACTCCCCGGGGCCGGCCGCTCATCCAGGCCGCAGGCAACCCGCTGCCCTTCACACTGGGCTGTCCCGGGACTCAAGGGTGAAATTTAAGAACATAAGGATGATACAGATTTTCTGAAAGCTACACTTTGCCATTAAGATGGTCCTTCACTCCAAGATTACATCCTTACCATTTGGGGCATATTAAGATCATCTTTCTTTCTGTGAAATGGTGATAAATAACGATCTTAAAAAAATACTTTGACCAAAAAAAAGTATATATACATATTTTAGCCCTGGCTGGTGTGGCTCAGTTGAGTGCCAGCCTATGAGTTCAAGGGTCGCTGGTCCAATCCCCCGTCTAGGGCACCTGCCTAGGTTGCCAGCCAGGTCCCCAGTGGGGGGCGCACGGGAGGCAACCACACACACTACTGTTTCTTTCCCTCACTTCCCCCCTCTAAAAATAAATAAATAGTTTTTAAAAATATTCTAGCCCTGGCTGGCGTAGCTCAGTGGATTGAGCGCGGGCTGTGAACCAAAGTGTTGCAAGTTCGATTCCCAGTCAGGGTACATGCCTGGGTTGCAGGCCATGACCCCCAGGAACCGCACATTGATGTTTCTCTCTCTCTCTCTCTCTCTCTTTCTTCCTCCCTTCCTTCTCTAAAAATAAATAAAAAAAAAAATCTTAAAAAAAAAAATATTCTTACTTGGCCATCTTAAAGTAAGCAATCCTACGTCCGTTTTCAAACTATCTCAGCGTGGACGGGCAGCGCTCACCCGTCCGGGGTCCCGGACCTCCTCGGCACGCTGCCCAGGCCAGGGGGCCCTTTCCCGTGGCTGCCGCCGCGCCCTTCCCTCTGGGCCGCAGCAGCCCCTCCTCGCCCTCCAGGGCAGGGCACATCCCTGGGGCTGTTCTCGCCCGGCCCGCCACAGCCTCCGCCCCCTCTGCCGCCTGGGCAGCACCGCGGCGCCTCCTGCTGCCCCTGGAGCCGCGGCTTCATGGGGGGGCCTTCCACTTGCTTCTGCCTCCTCGAAGCTTCTCCACTAAAGAGAAAGGAAGCCCCCACCCCCGGCTCCAAGGCCCTGGAGAACTGCCTGGGCCTCCCGACCCAGCCCTGGGGCTCGAGGAAGGACGGGGCCGGATGCCTGTGGCAGCGGCGGCGCCCAGAGTGTCCCGAGCAGAACTGCCCAGGTGCACGGGGAGGGCACCCGTGGAGCTCAAGTTCTCGGCCATCCGCTGAAGGTGCTGCTTGGCATGTGGGCCCCGAGCGCCCCTCACACATCCCAGGTGGGAGCAGCCCCAGTGCCCACCAGCGGGCGGGGCGTCCGCAGGACGAGGGCCGTCCACCTGGGGGACCCTTCTCGAGGCAGGCGGCTCCACCGCCACGGGCGGGCCCGGAGCACACTGCCCGGTGAGTGAGCCGGTCCCGGCCAGAGCAGTGCTGTGTGGGCGTGGCTCCACACCGATGCGGTCTGAGGGGCAGGGGCCGGGGGAGGGGAGCCAGTGGTTAATGGGGACGGCTCCTCTTGGAGAAGAGGGAAAGTTCTGGAGGTGACGGTGTGACGGCGGCCCAACAGTGTGAGTGCCCTGACTACTCAACTGTGCACTTAAAAACAATTACAGTGGTAAATTTTGTGTTATACGTTATTTTACCACAATAAAAGCACATTTTCAAATACAAAAAAGAACAACTACTTGACAGTGGCAGGCTTTACTCCGAGTTGGGGTCCCCACAGCGGGACCCCCGGGCCAGCAGCTCCAGCGCCTCCTGGACTTTGCCAGACATGCGCAGTCACTCCCAGGCCCGCCCCACCTCCCGCCCGGGGGGACCAGCCCCCTCCCCCCCATGCATGAGTGCGGCCCGAGGTCCAGGGCCGACGCCCCGCACAGCCCTGTCCGACCGCTGCTCTCTGCACCCAGGCCCTGCCCTCGCCCACCTGTACGAGCCCCTCCTGCGGACCCCGCGGTCGGGCACCACGCTCCTGGGACGGGCTGCCCCACGCCCCACGACTCAGTGACAGGTGGCCGTTCCCACGGTTCCCAAATGTGGTCCCACGGCCCGTCCACTGTGTCAGACCCCGGGAACCTCCCTGTAACCACCCTGTCTGGGCCTCCCCACAGAGACGCCAGCTCAGGCGTGGGCCGGCCCCTGGGAATCTGGGGCTTCTCGGATGATTCTGCCGTGCAGCTGGGGAGCCAGGGAACTAGAAGGTTCCAGGCAGAGTCAGGCCTGGCTCCCATTGCCTCACTGCCGGCAGCTGCTGGCTCCTTTGTGAGCCGGCTCCCAGCCCCACCGTGCCCCCGGGGGCCTGGCGCTCAAGGGTCTTCCAAACGTGCCTTCCCACACACTCTCGCCTGCCTGTCCCCAACCTGAACCCTCCACTTCAGGTGACCCGGCTTTACCTGGCTCCAGGCACACCGGCCTCCGGGAACGCGGAAGCCCCGCCCACACCACCCCTCTACCTGGAGGGCCCTCTCCACGGTGCTCCAGCGAGCGAGACCCTGCGCTCCCGCAACCACCCAGCCCCGTGCACGGTGACCCAGCACGTCTGTCCGTGTTCCTGCCACAGAGGGCAGGCTGGGGGACAGTCTGTGCCTCTGGCCCGGGTGCTGACACGCGGCAGGCCCTGCTGCGTCAGCGCCAGGTGAGCAAGCAAGCGAGCGAGCAATGGCAGGCAGGACGCAGCGACGGTCTGGGGCCAGCTCGCCCCTGCCCCGAACAGTCTACCGCGGCCACGGGAGCGGGAGGGCGTCTCCACCGGCGGGCCTGAGCTCGTGGACACGGGCGCCAGGCCCGGCCTCGTCTACCGAGAACGTCACACACTTAAATTTTTTTTTACCATTCTGCAATTAAACCGGAACCTCACGCAACATCACCTGCAAATGATCTCGTATGATTTTCTCACAAACAAGGACATTCTTCTACATAACCACAAACCACCATCAAAATTAGAAAACTTAAGAGATGCATTATCACCACCTAAACCTCTGTTCCCACCGGAGTGTCGTCCCTCACCCTGACACCCCCCCCCCACCGGCGAAGGACTCGCTCCAGAACCGTGTACTGCTGTGCGAGCTCCGCCCCCTCCCTCGGTCTTCCATGTTCCACACACGCATGGGCTCGGACACCTAACTGGGGTCCATCCCCCCCCACACACACAGATGTCCTCCTGACCCACTCGGCCTGTGAGCCCCACACTGGCCACCCTCCCAACCACCCGCACCCTCCTCGCTCCACTCCGATGCGGGCATCCACGCTGGGTTGCCCACATCACGTTTCTTGAGCTACAAAGCCTCGTGGCGCCCCCTGCATGGGAGCCCTACGCACCCAGTAAGGCTGATGCCATGCGTGGCTTCTCCCCAAACCCCCCCGCCGCTGCTGCATGGATGCCTCTCCCCGTGCCCAGGCCAGTGCGCCACAGTCCCGGCCGCCACAGGCTGCACGGTCTACAGAGAATTCCACGTGCTCTCTAAATCCCTGCCCCGGCCCCACGGCCAGCTCGAACCCACTCCCCCGAGTCCTGCCGACCAGCACCTCCAGAGGGGCTCTGGCCCTCCCCAAACCGCTCCACTCCCTGGCAAACGACCTCGAGGTCTACAGCCCACCTGCACGGTCTGGGCCCGCCGTGAGCTGGTTCACGTTCCCGCGGGACCTGCACAGCCCTCGGCACGACACAGCTGCCTCGGGGCGCTGCATCCAAGCCCTGGCGACGTGACCGTGGGCCCTGGTCTCATGCTCCCAGGCACCGCTGTCGGCTGGGCCCACTGCGCCGCCGCTCTCATCAAGGCACGGGCGCAGTGTCAGAGCCCGGCCGCCCTGCTCGGCCCCAAACCCGCCTCGCCCTCCCTGTTAGTGTCCCTCAGCCGTGCCTCTGCCCCGGACTCCAGCAACGGGCTGTCTCTGGGGTCTCCCGCACCCGCCCGTCCCCGTGAACTCCACACACAGTGGCACAGCCCTGAGGTCACAGGTCACATGCCATCTGAGCCACCAAAACAAACAGCCTCACCTTCCTCCACACCACTGTCCCCAGGGTGCGAGCTGCCTCCCTCCACACTCCACACCCCGCCCCCGAACCCCACCCCGGCACCAGCAGGCCACCTCCCCCACCCCACACGGCGACCCTCATAGAACCCGGCCAAGACTCCGCTCGCCTGCGAAGCCCTTCCTTCCAGTCCAGCCATACCTTCAGTCAGGCGCACCGGCGAGCTCCTGGCCTCCACCAGACCCTCACGAGTTGACGGTCTTATGCTGAGAGATTAGGGCCCAGACCTTGGAATCAACGGGCCTGCATCTACGCCCTGGCTTCGGCATGGGAAAAGCCAGGGCGCCCTGGACAGACACGTAGAATGACCAGAGCCGCTGCTCTCCACCGGCACACGAGGAAGCCAGCCCACGGCTGCCGTGCAGAGGGGGCAGGGATGTGCCCCCAGGACCAGCACGTGCAGACTGCGGCACGCACGCGACGGAACACTCACGGCGCGTGCCCACAAATCTCTCAGGGGGAGCCACTCAGCTCAGAGCTGCACGTGAAAGGCTCAGGGTAAAGCAGCCAGGCTCCAGAGCCTGGCTGCTCAGTGTGGCCCGTCCTGGAGAGGTTCGCACGCCGAGCGCCAGCCCCCGCACCCCGACCCTGCCCCCGGGCCCGAGCACCACCGCCTCCAGCTGTGTCTCTTCTCAGAGCTCACACAGCTGAGTGGGAATGTGCAACCTAACCAGCCCCCCAGGCGGCCCGCGTGCACATTAAAGTTTGAAAAGTGCTGCTTTAGACAATGCCCTCCTCCCAGCCCTGTGCTTCCTCCAACACAGCATAAATGTTTCAGTCCCTGGGCTTGTTTTTCGTGTGTTTCCCACAATGCTGCAGGGGAGGCAGAGCCGCTGGGAGCACGGACTCTGCAGTCAGGCTACTCGGGTCAACCTGCGGCACAGGCTGCCGGGAAGAGGCACGCACAGCACCGGGCACTCGGCAAGGCCCACGCCCCAGCACCTGTTTAGCGGCTCCTTGAGAGCCACGCACTGGAAGGGTGATGTGGGGAAGGAACGTCTCTCTGGGGCACTGACACGTGGGAAGGAAACCCTGTCACGAACCATAACTGGGGAGAAGAGCCCTCTAAGCAGAACAGAAAATGGCCAAGGGGGCAGCAGCCGCGACCCCGCAGGCCAGCAGACACCGTGAGGCCTCGCAGGCTGGGGATTTAGTCCGAGCAGATCCGGGAGCTACCGAAGGGGTGTGATGTGACGTGTCTCCAGAGAGCACTCTGGCTGCTGCGTGCGAGGTGAGCCACGGGGCTCAGGGTCGGAGCAGGGGACCACACGGCAGGCTACGGAGGTCACCGAGCCGAGAGAGAAGCACCGGCTCAGGCTACAGCTACGACAGGGGGCTTGACTCGGGAGCCGTCCTGAGGACGGGCCGCTGCCGAGCCGGACCTGGGAGGAGGCGCGGAGGACGGCCCCGGGTCTGAGTCACCGAGTGAGGTGGTGTGACATCGGTCCAAGACGTCCCTGAGACACGCACGTGCGGAAGTCGAGCAGCGTTTTGACTTGGAGAACGGGGGGAAGAGTCCCAGTCTAAGGGCCGAATGAGGACGACCCTTAGAGATGACGACGGAGCCTTCCTTCCCTTCCGTGCCTCTCACCACTGCCTGACGTGTCCGAGACACACCGACAGCGGCGCCCCAGGGCCCAGCGGCGGGGGTTTCCGGAGGGCGGCAACCCAGTGCCAGTCTGGGGGTGAGGCTCTGCGGAGCTGTGTCGGAGGAGCCGGGAGGGAGACGGGGGCCGGGGTGCAGAACAGGTATCGGTCCTGGGAACCGGCGCACGTCACGGAAAAGCGGGAGAGCAGGGAAGCAGGACGGGTCTGGGGACGAGAGGAGCGGCGCGGAGCATCTCCCACAGGACGCCCGGCAGGAAGGGGCAAGATGAAGTGTGGCTCAGGGAATGAGGGGCCCAACGTGTGGAAGGCTCTGGAAAGATGCGGGCCTGGGCTCCAGTCTCTCCTCCCCACTTCTCAGAATGCCTGGAGGCAGCCCCTTTCCTGGGCAGTTCCGGGCCAGAATGCAGCCCGAGATTCTTTCTTTCTAAAACAGATGAAAGCTCGCCCCACCGCCAACCCAGAAGAGGAAGCAACTCCAGCCCACCCAGAGAGGAGCACTGCTGCCCACTCGCTGCGTCAGTGGGCCCAGGTCAGCTGCCCCCTCTCCCTGTCCAGTAAAAGCCTCTACTGAAACCTTCTGACAGAGGACAACACCCAGGACAGACGCCCCCCCAGCCCGTGCTCCTCTGTACAGTCCCTACTGACCACTCCTCACACAACGTCCTGGGTGTCGTGAGGACCCAGGGGACACAGATCCCAGGGTCCCAGGGCTGCCACCTGCACAGACAACACACACAGAGAGCAGGCCTTCGAGTGCAAAGTGCACCGAGGAAGGTGACAGAAGTCCCAGGGCAGGTGTGAGGCTTGTCTGGCCTCCGCCACCGCTGTTCTGCAGGCGCAGCCCGCTCGCTCCTCGGTGCTCCTGCTGCCCTGGCCCCTGCTCACCTGCGTGCAGCCACCAGCTCCTGCTCCACCGAGGACGGCGGCGCCCCGCGTCTGCACTCAGCCAACACCTACGAAGTATCCCTAACGGTCTGGAAAATGGCTCTCTGCTGCCAGAAAGCCACAGTCAAAACCCCTGCTCTGCTACTTCCTGGCTGTGTGACCTTCCGCAGGTTGCTTCACCTCTCTGCGCTTCGGTTTCCCGTGCGAACTGCCTCCGCTCCCCGGCCCTCCGTGCTAGGCACGGACCGATCAGGTGCGCCTCGCCGCTGTGTTGACCGAGGAGGGGACCGAGCCCCCGCGTCTCCCGCCCGCGTCCGCGCAGGGTCCGCCACTCACCCAGTTTCCGAAGCCGAACTGCTCGATGGCATCCAGCAGCAGCTGCTCCTCGCGGCTGGTCCAGCCGCCCTCGGCCTCGGGCCCCCAAAGCGTGAAGCGCCCGCCGTCCACCAGCTGGTAGCCGTGGTAGCGGCGGTGGTGGCCAATCTCGGCGCCGGCCGAGAAACACTCGGGGCACAGCTCGATGTCCTGGCACTCGGTGCAGCGGAAGCGCAGCGGGCTCACCTCGGCCAGGCAGTACACGCAGTACTTCTTACCGAGCTCCGCCATCTTCCCCCGCCCGCCGCCCGCGCCCGCCGCCGCCGCCGCCGCCGCCGCTCCCGCCGCCCTCGGCGCCGCCGGGGCCGCCGCCGCGCTCCAGCAACCGCCGCCCGCCGCCGCCGCCTGGCCTGCCGCCGCCGCGCCGCCCCGCCCAGGCGCCGCCGGAGCCGGCCAGCCGGGCCGTGTCCCGCCTCAGCACGCAGGCGCCCTCCGGCCCGGACCGGCCGCCACCGCCGCCGCCGTCGCTCCGCCGCATCGCGCAGGCGCCCCGCGCGCGCCACCGCGCGGAACCCGGCCCGCCTCTCTGCGCCTGCGCGCCCCTCGCGCCGGCCGCGCGCCCCTCCCACCACCACCTAACGCCACGCCCCAGGCTGGACGCGAGGAAATGGGAGGAAAGCGAGGGCGGCGGACGCGCCCTGCCCCTCTCGGCGCGAGCCTACATCCTCTTCCAATCAACGCTGCCGGCAGTCCTCCCGCGGCCTCCCATTGGTTTTAAAGGAGGAGAGAAGGGGGCTGGGCGTCGGACTGACGTCTGGCCAATCGCTGGGCCCACCGCGAGCGCCGCTGGTTGCCCCTGGAAACCCAACAGCCGGCCGCGGGATTCAGCGGCACTAGCAGAGCAGGTGAGAGATGGACGACCCCTCCGAGCCCGCTGGGGCCTCTGAGACGAAAGACGGAGATGTAGTGAGCCTGGCCTCGCGGCTGTCCGGGATCAAGGTCAGCTCTGGTCCCCAGTCCCCGGCCGAACCCACGGAGCCGGAGCCGGAAGCCGTAGAGACTTCAGAGGGAGATGTCGCCGCGGCCGAGCCCCCCGAGACGGCTGAGCCTCCTGAGCCGGCTGAGCCGGCTGAGCCCGCCGACATCCCCGAGCTCCCCGAGCCAGCCGGGTCCGACGAGCCGGCCGACCTCGCCAAGCTCCGGGAAGGGCCGGCGGCCACCGAGGCTGAGGGCGAAGAGTCCAGAGAGCGGGCGGAGCCGGTCGAGGCCGAGCCAGAGGAGCCAGCCGAGCCTGGGTCCGCAGGCGGACCCAAGGAACCGGAGGAGAAAGAGCGGGAGGAGTCGCCGGAGGACAAGGGGAAGGAGACGGAAGAGGAGGCATCGGAGGCGGCAAGGAAGAAGAAAGCCCCGTTGCGCGTCTCTCTGCAGCTGTACGCGCCTGCCCGGGGGACGGTTGAGCCAATTCTGGAGGAGGAAACAGAGTACGAGGAGATCGAAAGCAAGGGTGTGGAGGGAAGCAGGGCGAAAAGCCACCTCTGGCAGAAAGGTCTGAGCAAGCAACCCGGGTTCGAGGACTCGGAATGGACAGAGGAGGTGCAGAGGCTGCAGGAGGAGCAGCTGCGCTCCGAGCTCCTGGACCAGTACTGCTCCCTGATGGTGGAGCGCAGCCACTACCAGCGCTACAACTCCTACCTGCAGCACAAGATCTGCCAGGCGCTGCGCAAAAAGAAGGGCCTGGATGTGGCCGAGGTGCCCGACATGGGCCCGGAGCCCGAGGCCCCCGAGAAGGAGCACGCATATATCAGCTATCTGGCCGTGCTGGAGGAGCTCAGGAAGCAGCGGGCCGACGACCTGGCCTGGTATCACCAGGAGCTGGCCCAGCTGAAGCAGCAGTGCAAGGAGAACCTCTCCAGGGTGGAGAAGGAATGGCGAAGATTCCAGGCACTCAAGAAGCAGGTGGTGATGCAGGCCATGGGCAGCTGTCGGATGAGGGGCGGTCGCAAGGCCGCTCTGCGAGAGGTGGAGCAGCTCCAGGCCCTGGAGGAGAAGAAGGAGAAGGAGATGAGCGCCGTGAGGCTAGAGAATGTGCAGCTGAAGCAGAGCCTGGTGCACTTTGAAACCCGGATGAGGGCGCAGGAGGACACCACCGAGGGCCTGCTGCTCATCGACTTTGAACAGCTGAAGATCGAGAACCAGACGTTCAACGAGAAGGTCGAGGAGCGCAACGAGGAGCTTCTGAAACTGCGCAACAAGGTGGACAACCACGTGCGGATCATCACCCACGTGAAAGAAATGTTGCACTTTGTGGACATCGAAAACGCATGCAAGAACTCTCAGCTTCTGGAAGCGGACAGTCAGGTGGCCCTGAGGAGGGACATCCTGACCAAGACGAAGCAAGCCCGAGACGGTCTGCGGGTCGACAACGTCAAGCTGAGCCAGAGGTGCGGGCTCCTGGGCAAGGAGGCGCTCCTCCGGGACATGGAAGAGAAGGCGGGCAAGACGGCGCTGCTCAAGGAGCGCCTGGAGTCCCTGAAGCGCCACCACGCCGGGCTCACTCTGTCCTGCAAGGGCATGAGGCGCAAGATCCGGGAGGCCAAGGCCTTCCTCCCCTCCTGACGGCGGCGGCGGCAGGCCAGCTCCCACCTCGGCAGGCGTTACCCTCCGCTCTCCGTTCTCCGCCCTTCTGGAAGGCCTGTGGTGTTTAGGGTGGAGCTGCCTTTTGTCTTTAATCTCTTAAACGTTCCGTTTCCCCGGGGAGGGCTGAGCGCAGAACTGTGTCAGCGGTCAGTTTCACGTGGGGCGCAGTGAAATAGGTCCGGAGAAGCAAACGAGGGGTAATGCACTTGACTTGCTTTCTCATAAAAAGCTGTCGAAAGCCTTTTTGTATCTGAGCGATTCCATCATTCCAGTCCCCCGACACCGAGGAGAACAGTTCCTCTCCCTCAGGCAGGCGGGTTCGGCCAATGTGCAGGTGGTCCCCGGAATCGCTGTACCGGTAAATCCCTTCGAATGTATTAAACCATGCATCCCGGGTCGGCCCCGATTGGAAGCTCTCTGGTTCCGTCAGACCAACCTGGAGTCGTTCCGCGTGTGAGCGGCCCAGCTCCTGGGGCAGGGAACGCTAGCCAGCAAGCGGGGGAGTGCTGAACGGGAAGGGAGCCGTGTCCCTCCGTCCCCCCCTTTTCCAGCGAAAGGGGGGCTCAGTCTGCTTGACCACCGACGCTGGCTTCCGGCCCAGCGGCAGTCTCCCTTCTCATGCAGCGTCTCCTTGGCTCCCCTGAAGGAATGTGTTGGGCTGTCCCAGTGAACGGTGGCTTGTTTTCTAGTGGAAATGACCATGGCTGTGTTTTGCCAGGTGCCAGGTACCCGTAGTGGTGACAGCCACCCGTGAGCCTTCCGTTTTCAGCAGGGCGACAGGACCTTGCCGTGCAGGTGACTCTACCCCGGAGCAAACAGGGAAACGCCCGTTGCTCCCGGGTTGATGCAGGAGACACCCGACGGGTGTGCCTCCTCCACTCACGACCACCGGCGGGCAGTTTCCGTTCTCTCTGATGCTTTCAGAGCTAGAGGCTTGGCCCCATCTCCCCTTAATCCCGGGTTACGTTCTGAGGTCTGCAGACCTGGGGTTAAAAGTATTCTCCTGTCCCCGAGCGTAAGTGGATTGATCACAAGGAGGGCAGTCTACTCCAATCTAGTCTTTGGTGCTAAATGCCTGTTGAGAAACGGCAGAAGCCCCCTCCCCCCAAGACAGACAGCTCTGCGGGTTGTGGGGAGGTCACAATAGCACTTTGATGATTTTGTTCCCTAGCATGTTCTTGCGTTCATGCCGATAAAGGTTGATGAAAATTTCTTTTCACATTCCACACCTTGAACACACTTTTTTTTCAAAGCAAGACTTTTTTTAAGATTTCATTTATTTATTTATTTATTTATTTTCAGAGAGGGAAGTGGGGGAGAAAGAGAGAGAGAGAGAGAGAGAAACATCAATGTGCGGTTGCTGGGGGTCCTGGCCTGCAATCCAGGCATGTGCCCTGACTGGGAATCGAACCTGCGACGCTTTGGTTCGCAGCCCGGGCTCAATCCGCTGCGCTACGCCAGCCAGGGCTGAACACACTGTTTACAGTCACACACGTCTCCGACCACACCGACGTGACCGTGAGCGGGGCGGACAGCCTGACCCCCGGCCTGCAGCTGCCTCGTCCTCTGTGCTTCCTTGTTTTCTCTCTGCCTGTCCCCGGGGCCCGAGTGGAGCAGGAAATCACTTCAAGTGGAACATTGTTCCGTTGAGTCCTCAGGAAAAGCAACACTGGGTGCCCTGGTCGGGGAGACTTCAAAGCGAAACTAGCAACACGCCTGGCGCCTTCCCCGGGCCAGCGGCTTCCGTGGCCTCCCTCCCCATGCTCCCCTCCCCGCGGTTCCCTCGGTTCCCTGGGGGCGGGGGGTGGGGGAGGCGTCGTCAGCTGACTTTGACCCACTGGCAGTTCTGCGGGTCAGAACTACTGCGGGTCAGACCAAGCATGCCCTCACGGCCCGACCCCAGCAGCAAAGTGGGTCTCTCTTTCTCTTTTCTAAAAGATTTTATTTATTTATTTATTTTTAGACAGAGGAGGAGGGAGGGAGGAAGGGAGAGAAACATCAATTTGTGGTTGTCTCTCATGCGCCCCCTACTGGGGACCTGGCCCACAACCCAGGCGTGTGCCCTGACTGGGAACTGAACCTGTGACCCTTTGGTTCCCAGGCCGGCGCTCGGTCCACTGAGCCGCACCAGCCAGGGCAGCGAGCGGGGCTTTTCACAGCGTGATGATGCGGGAGGAGGATACAGAAGGCTGCCGGGGCTTCAGGGGGCGGAGCTACCAAGGCTCGCTCTCTCAAATTCTGCTACCACACGCTCCAGTGTTACAATGAGAAGATAATCTTGATTACTTCGCAACAAGTTTCTCGTTCGATTACTGGAGAGCTCAGTCATGAAACAGTAACACTTGACTGCTTCGGGCAGACTGCCTGGAGGAGTCCTAGAGCATCTTCTTCGCCCGCCCGTGTGTGTGTGTGTGTGTGTGTGTGTGTGTGTGTCCCTCCCTCCCTCCCTCCCTCTCTCTCTCTCTCCCCCCCTCTCGGATAGGCTGCGGTTAGCCCCGGGCCAGCCCCGGACACTCCGCTTTGTGACGTCCGGTTAGTTCTCTGCGCCCCGGCAGGCAGGGGGCCCGGCAGGCAAGGCCTCTCCCTGGTTTATCATCCCCCCAGGGAGCCAGCACAATGCCCAGCATATCGCTGGTTCTCAATATATTTGCTGAACGCATTAACAATGCCAGGCTCGTTCCCCGAAAATAAGTGTCGCCTGAGTGGCTGTGACATATGCCGGGCACTGATTACTGCCCCATCGGAGCCCAGAGCGACGGCGGGCGGAGGAAGCGCTCCTCGGGAAGTCGGACCGCGAGGGAGACCACAGGGAGGCGTGCCTGTGCCGGAAGCACCGCCCTGCAGCTAGCGACAGGGCCGTCCTTCCCGGGACTAGAGACCGCTCAGCCTAAGCCCCTTTTTACAAACGCTAACATCTAAGGGGAGAGGTCTCCTCCTCCTGTCAGAAAGCGCGGGGCCTGAGAAACGGCGCCACCGTGAGACTCGGGTGCACTGGCACCCGGGTGAAACCGGGCTTCTGGACACGGGTTCGAGTGCCAGCATCCCCGGCTGCGTCACCGGCAGGGGCTCCCGGTAGCCCTGGCAGGACAGCTGAAAAAGACACCTTGTCGTCAGTCGCTGAGAATCATTTCTCGGCAACTCACCGCGCTCGGGGCTTTTGAACTTCGTGGGCAGCCTCAGACTTCACCGCTGGGCCGGGACGCCCGCGCACAACGTGAGGCCCCAGCCAACACGCCTCGGTCTGGTGCGCGTCTGAACACCTTAGACTTGCAGCAGGCCGACAGGTCGTGCCAACGCCGGGACGGCAACGACTCCCCGTGACGTTGCCCTGCAGGGAAGCCACGCCAGAAGCCTGGGCAGGGGGGGCAACGAGCACCCCGGGGCCGCAAGAGCGCTGCCCGAGCTCCCGGCTCCCACGTCCCATGCAGCAGGGTCCCCTTCCAAAGGGTCCTCCAGTTTCACGTGAACGACCAAGGGTGGGATTCGTGTGAGTTTCAACAACTAATCAGTGTGCACCCTCCCCAGTGTTTCAGCTGGAGTCCTCCAATGCCGCACCCAAGGGTGAGGACAAAGGAGCACTGACTAGGGGAGGGCGGGGCCACGAGGGAGGGGCGGGGGGGGGCGGCAAAGGCTCTGGACTCAGGTCTCCTCCGACTGTCGTCGCCTGGGACAAATGCCCCAACGCGACGCTCCAGGCCCCGTGTACCCCCTGGGGAAAGCGGGAAAGAGGTCAGCACGTGGAAAAGGACCTCTTTTCTGGGTGGTGAAATTATGACTTCCATTGTGTGCCTCTCTGTCACGTGTAAATTTTACGCAGTGCGCAGTGGGGCGAGGCGGGTTCCGATGTGTGGAAGCTCGTGAGTTCGCCGGGAGCGACAGTGCTGGTCTGCGTGTCGGGGGGATGGGTCTCGCTCCCACGGCGATGTTTCTTCCGACGGCGCAGTCAGGCCGGCCGGTTACTTTAATCCCCAAACCAGCGGACAGGCGCTGGGCGCCCTTTTCAACCCTGGTCACGACAAAGGAACGTAAGGTAAGGCCCAGGGACCTGAAGTTCTCCCGTCCCTGACCAACCTCCAGCTACGCTGTGCCTTAGACTCAGGTGTTTGGTTGGAGCAGTTCCAGGAACGCGGTTGAGGTTCTGGCGTCATCAGCTGGGGACACCTTGCTTCGCTGTGTCGTTGCTCAGGGCGAAGGCCACCGCCCCTCCGTGCACAGGGGACCCTGAAGGGCCCGGGCGTCCCGGGGACATGGGGCCTCAGCAGGGCACGCCGGTGGGGCAGCTCCGTCCCAGAGCAAGCTGACCGCGGGGGGGGGGCGGCCACGCTCCCCAGCCAACTCGAGCTGGACAGCGCAGCAGGCCTCTGGGAAATCCCCGGGGACTGGAAGTCAGGGCTGAGCTGGGGGGGGGTGGGGGGCGGGGAGGGCCGGGCAGTGCTCGGAGCTCCGTGTGGCCCCGTCAGAGGACGTGCTCTGGCGGTAAGGCCTCCATCTGCTGGGCCACCTGGAGGGACTCCTCCCCCGGTCCATGTGGCGACCAGCAGCTCACCCCTCTGTCCAGCTTGCTGTCGCCTTGCTGCTCCGCCCACCTCGCTGGCGCAGCATCTGGCTTCCCCGCTTGCCTTCTTGGCCGGCGCCACTCTGGGTGGGGGTCCTGAACCGGCCATGCCGCCCACCCGCCCGGTTTCGCTCAGGGAGACGTCCGTCCACTTCCACACCACTGACCATGCACTCCCCCCGAGGTCTGCCTGCGGGAGCCGGCCACCGGGCGGGCGTGGCCACTTTCTCTGCTCGTGGGGCCTCGCATGCGGGGTCTCGGGGGACCCTGTCCCTCCAGGCCTCGCCCCACACAAACCCTGCGCCTGCAGCGGTGGCGGCGGCGGGCGGCCGGGGGCCCGGAAGCCAGCAAGTTCTCCGGGCAGGCACTGCTGCGAGGGGCGTGGGGGCCACAGGCCGCGCCCGAACCCCGGGGGCCACTCTCTGGCCGTAGGAGCCCCAGCAGATAGATCACTTCTCGACGCCACACCTTTGGAAGGGGACAGTGACAGCGCGGCTGTGGAGGTAAACGAGGTCACTCCGAGCACTTGCGCCGGAGCCCGGCCCGGGCGGGTGGGGCCGCCTGCAGTGTGGCTGTCCCGCGTGACCCCTCCTCAGGCGCCCACAGTTCCCGTGGCCGGGGAGGCAAAGCGGGTGGGTCCCTGGGGGGGGAGGCAGGGCTGTCCAAGCGCCGCGTGGGGACTGAAGACACAGGAGACCCCGCGTGCCTCGGAGCTGCGGAGTCCCACGGGGGCCGTTCCCCAGGCTCGGGGAGAGCAGGAGGGGTGGCAGCACCTGTGACGGTCATGGAGGACAAGGGCAAGCAGAAAAGCAGCCCGGACAGGGGCCCCCTCTGAGCCCCCTGTTCTCTGCCCGAGTAGCCAGCCGGACGGGCACAGCTGCCTGGGGGCCCCCGAGGACCAGGCCCTGCCTGCCACCCCAAGTGGGGCTGCACCGACGGGAACCCGGGCCCCCACTGGCCGGTGGGGGAGCTGGCCAGCAGCACCTGGCTGACCAGGTTTCTCAGGGAAGGGGGCAGGGCCTGGTGGCGGTGGGCACCGAGGGGGCCACAGCCTGCTGGGGTGGGGGGCAGCAGGCTCGGGCGGGGACAGGGGCGGGGCAGACACGAGGGAGTCGGGGACAAGGGGCTGCAGCTGGCGGCGGGGGTGGGGCAGAGCCGGGCTGGAGGAGCAGCCAGTCCGGGGCTCCCTCTCAGAGTGGACGGGACGCGCTAAGCTCCCGACCCCCTTGACCAAATTACCAAAACTGTGCCAACCCTTTGATTTCATTGATCAAAAGTGACATTGGGAATTCTGAAACAGCATCACGTTCAAAGTCAAGTATCTGCCATACTTCAAGGTGAGCAGTTAAATTTTCCGGGCAAAGGACCCGAACACACACTTTTCCAAAGAAGACACACAGATGGCCACCCGACGAAAGAAAAGATGCTCAGCGTCTCCGACCACCGGAGAGACGCAACTCGAACCCCAGTGAGCTGTCCGCCTGCCCGTCAGAACGGCTGCCGCCAGTGAGTCAACAGGCGCACACTCGGGGCGGGGGGCGGGGAACGCGGAGGAAGGGGACCCCCAGCGCACTGGGGCGGGGACACAGACCAGTGCATCCACCATGGCAACAGCACGAAATACCTCACAAACTAAAAATGGCTCTGCCTTCTGCCCCAGCGCCCCGACCGCCGGGATCCCACACGAGGACGCCTGAAACGCTGACCAGAAAGAACACAGGCGCCCTGCACTCAGGGCAACATTGTGGACGACGGCCAAGACCCAGACGCAGCCCGAGCGCCCGAGCGGGCGAAAGAGCTGTGGCTCATTCACACGGCGGACAAATCCTCCTCCGGAGGCGTGACAAAGAGGGACCCCTTGCCACTCGCGACGGCACGGGCGGACCTGCAGAGCGTCACGCTAAGTGAAACAAGCCGGTCAGAGAAAGACAGATGCCGCACGATTCCGCTCCTGCGTGGAGTCTGACGCACGGAATGAACAAGGCAGAAACAGGCTCCCAGGGGACAGGCTGGCGGCTGGCGGAGGGGCGGGGCTTGTGGGACGGGGTGGAAAAGGGGAGGGGTTAGCAAAACAAAACAAAAAACACCCACAGACGGAAAACCCCTCGTGGACCCAGAGCACAGCGCAGCGACCACCCGAGGGAGGGAAGGGGTGGGGGAGGCAGGACAGCGTGGGGGGCCGACGGCGATGGGAGGGTCCCCGTCCCGCGGCACAGCACCCGGAGGACTCGGTGCAAACCCGCACCCTGGAACCTGCACGGCTCCACCGGCCAACGTCACCCCGGAGAATTAACACACACACACACACACACACACATGCATACATACATGCAAACGTGTAAGAAAAAGGGTGAGAACTTCCATTTTAAGCCAATCTACAATAATTCTTTCTGCCTTGAATACACTCACTCTGCTTGTATTCTGCTTTAATTATTTCTTTTCGTTGCTGAAGTCGACAGCTCTTTATGTCCCCTTAAATGAAGTCAGTAACCTTGTATGGTATTTTAAAACAAACAAAATAAATGAGCCAAACAACAGTGAATATAAATAACAATTTTACATGACTTTTATTTAATAAAACCATATATTTACAATTCAAAAAGTCCTAGTTTGATACTTTACTAAATAAAAGGCTGACTGTACAAGCAATTAAAACATGATATGTAGCAAGTGTTATCAGGAACTTTCTATCAGCAAACTATTTAAAACAGTCAAAACTGAGCAGTTAAGAAGAACCTTGGAAAGTGAACCTCGCTTCCAGATGTGACTCCAGGCCTGGCGAGGACCGGCGGGGACCAGGGCTCCTGCTGGGTGGGCGCGGCTCCCCGGGGCTGCGGCCTCGCCCTCCACTGTCTTAGTGACGCCCAACGCCCCCTGCAGGGACAGGGGCCGGTGACTCTGGGCGGGGACCGAGAACGTCCGGCGTCTGGAGGGGACACGGTGAACTGGTCAGGCCTCACAGGGTCCCTGACCAGGCCAGGAAGGCCCCTCCGGAACCAGAGGTCTGGTCAGCGTTCCGGACGGACACGGAATCCCTTCAAGCACGTAACGCACGCGCGGCACCACCTGGCCGTGTCACCCCGACAGTCCACACGCCGCCCGGGCTGCGCCTCTCTGCCCCCCCATCAGGGGGTCCCAGCGGACAGTCGGGAACCATGCCCGCCTTCCGGGAGCAGGAGCCCATGCCCGGGACGGACCGGGCGGCCTGTGGGGACGGCTCAGCTGCGTACATTCAGCATGGCGGTGCCGGACCCGCTGCATCCGGACGGCACGGAGACCTTGGGGAGGACAGGACCCTGCTCCGAGGGGCCAGGCGAGCCCATGCGTAAAGGCTGAGGCAGAAAGCAGCCCCCACGCTGCTCTGCAGCCTCCCCGGGGAACGCAAGGAGGAGGCGAGGGGACCGGGGCTCCGGGAAACCTCTCTCAGAGCGGAGCCGGAGCCGGGATGGGGCGGGAGGACGGCCGCAGGCCCGGCAGCCGGCCGTGGTGCCGTGAGGCGTCACCAGTGGGCGTGGAGTCACTAGAAAACCGACCAGAGTAACGCACAGCCCGGCTCTACCCTCCACCACAGGTCTCCTAGCTGCAGGCCACACTCTCAAAGCCAAGGGCACTTCCAGTGTCAGAAACGGGACCCACCCTGAGCTGCTCCCTGGGCCGGACGGTGCGGCTGAGAAGGGCCAGAGAGTGCCCGGCCCCACCCCCACGGCGGCCGCGCCGCAGGGCCGCCAGGGCCCTGGACACCAGTGCGCCCGGCCCGCCCGGAGACCGGCACGAGGGAACCCGCCTTCGGACCGCTCTGTGCACAGCCACCCGAGTCTCTGGATTTGGGTAACCAGAGCTCTCGGAGCTCCGGGGGAGACCCGGGGGGACCGGCCAGAAGGGGAAGGCCGAGGCACGGACACCTGCACGTGACCACACAGTCTGGGCCGTGGGGGCGGCGCACGGCTCTCCTCTCGGTGCCCGCAGCAGCCGACCCGCGAGCCTCGCGCACGCGGAGGGGAGCACTCGGGGCTGAGGCTGCCGTCCAGGTGCCGAAGAGCAGCGCTCCGTGAGGGCAAGGAGCAGCCCCCGCCCCTCGTGCTGCCCGAGGGCCGCCGGGAACCAGCAGGGGGCCGGGGGCGGGTCTCAGCCAGCACCCTGCTCCCTCTGCTCTGCCTCCAAGGGAGCTGCTTCCACCCCATGCGTGTGCATCGCTCCTGGTCCTGTCTCTGTGGCCCTGCATCTTCTGTGCGCACAGCCCCCACGCCCCCACCCGACCTCCCTCCGGTGCCCGGGGGGCAGGGAGCACTCTCGGGGGCGGCACGGGGCCCCCACAGGTCCCACGTGTGCATTTCCAGCCTCGGGGCTGTGGTCGTAGCAAGGCAACGCGGTAAGACGTGAGCCCGAGGGCGGCCGGAGCCCCGGGGCGCCATGAGCACTGGTCAGCAACCCCCCGAGAGGGCTCGCGGCCTCTGGCGCGTCTTTGGAAGGCGGGCTTCCCAGGCCGGGCCTCTGTTTCTGGATCATCCGGACCACTGCGTCGGCCACCACTGACGGTCGAAACAGAGAACTGCGGGCCAGGCTCCTCTGCGGCCTCCCAACCCACTTCTCGTGCACCTGGGCTAAGAAAGACCGGAACGTCCTTTCCAGGAGGCGACATAAAGCGTTACAATTTAATGACTTCCGCTGGAGCAGGAGGAGGGAGTCCGCCGCCGCCCGGGGGCCAAACCGCACTGTGGTTGCCAGGCCAGCGCCGCGTCGTCGCTCCGCCGAGCTTCTTAAGGCCGAGCCTCGGTTTACTTCTTGACAAGTTCTGTTTGTTTGGTTTAAGGCCGACTCCAGCGTCAGGGGTCAGATGGGGCAACGGCGCCCGCCCTCGGCTGCCGGCCGTCTGCCCCCGGTGTCTGTCCCGGACAGCTCGGGCGCGCTGGGAGGGCTGCTCCGGTGCCCGGCGCGAGTCCGCCTGCGCCTCAGTGCCTGAGAGACGGGCTCCCTCTCTCCACGTCCCGGCTGTCCCTCTGCAACGCCGTCAGCACCTGGGAAGCACAGGGGACACGTCCGTGGGCGGCCCACCACACTCGCTGAACCCAGACCCCGAAGAGCGAGCGTGCATGGCGACTCCGCCCACCGCACCGGCCCTCAGACCCGGCTTCCTAGCAGGGAGCTCCACCCCCCGCCACCCCGGGGTGGAGGTCCTCTGGCCACACCCCACCAGCCGCAGTGCCACCATCCAGGTGGCGGGGCCGCAGGGCCCTCCCCACAGCCACCCTGCCCCGTCCTGGCCACCACCAGCTCCGGGTCCGCTCCTTCCCGTGCTTTCCCGGAGTGTAGCCAGCTCCATCCTCTCTGCTCTCCGTTAACACCTTTACTTTTAGTTTACTTTCAATTTTTTTATTTTTTAAAGATTTTATTCATTTACTTTGAGAGGCGAAGGAAGGGAGAGAAACATCAATGTGCGAGACACATGTGGATCGGCTGTCTCTTGCTCACCCCCAGCTGGGGACCCGGCCTGCAGCCCAGGCCCGCGCTCTGACTGGGAACTGAACCCGTGACCCTCTGGTTCCTGGGCCCGCACGCACTCAGTCCACTGAGCCATGCAGCCAGGACTAACCGATAATTTTTACTTAGTTCCTAAACGTAAGACACAAAATGTCAGATGCAGCTTTAATCCTTCCTGTGTGTGCGTGCACACGTGTGGGGGGTGTACACGTGTGGGCATTTGCATGGGTGGGTGGGTGGGTGTGCACGTTGTCTATGGGTGTGTCTGTGACGTGCAGCTGGGTGAGTGTACACGTGGGTGTGTGCACGTGCTTGTGTACACGCCTGGGTGGGTGGGTGTGCGGGGGGCTGTGTGCGGGGCTGGCGCGTGCGAACGGGGGAGGGGCTGACCGCAGGGCCGGACAGTGACAGGTAAGGAAAGACGTCAGCAGACGCTGACCCCCACGCTGGAGAGTGAAGGTGGTGACACAATCCAGCTTTGCTGAGGCACCGCTGCCCCGGGGAAACCATCGTCCCGCCTCGGTGGGAGGAGGGGGCCCCGTGAGTGCGAGTCCGCCTGCGTTCTGTCTCCAGCCCTTTTCAAGGCTGGGGGGCTCGGGTTACGAGGCTCTGTCTACTGCACAGAGAGCACCGGACACCGCACCAGGGGTTCTGACCTCCCGGCGACGCCGTCTGACCGTCGGACCGAGGCCCCGAGGCGACGACGACGGCCCGAGACCAGGCAGAGCCTCGCCTCACAGCCCGGCCCCCCGCACAAGAACCTCCCTGGGGCCTGGGAGCCAGGTGCTTCCTCGCCACCCGGCCGCGCCGCGCCCCGAGGGGGAGGGCACGGAAGACCCCCGTACCTGGGCCCACTTCCTGTTGCGGCTCTGCATCTGAATCGTGGCTATGGAGGCGAACAGCTCCTCGGCGGGCAGGTGGTCGGGCAGCCGGGTGAGGAACTGGGCCATGTGGATGAAGTCCATCTTGGTCAGGATGTCCTCGAACAGCTTCAGGAGGCCCAGCGCCGTGCGGAACAGGAACTCCTCCCCGTCGCGGCAGAACACGTCCCACACGCGGCAGGCCAGGTCCAGGGGCAGGGACTTGCTGTACAGGGTGAAGATCCTGGAGGGGGGCGGAGCCGCTCAGGCGCCGGCGGCACGGAGGAAGGGCAGGCGCCCCGCACAGCGCCCCCCCCCCCCCCCGGGGCCGGCCACTGCGGCGCTGGCTCACGCACCCGCGGGGGAGGAGGGAAGGAACCCGGGAATTCGTACGGGAGTGTGTTTTACTCTAACACGTTTAAACCTCAGTCACCCCAAAGCGCTCCCCGTCTGCCGCGGCACCCCCACTGAGGCCTTCTCCCCGCGGCTCAGAGCAGTTGTGAACTCGTCGGCCTCGACGCCTTTCAGAGCTTCTGACGTTTTTGCTTCCCCTCCCCCAGGAAGGCAGAACGTTCCCCTCCGAGGACTTTCTTCCTCAGGGGAAACAGGGAAAAGTCGCTCAGGGCGAGACTGAGTGAACAGGGAGGGTGAGGCCCAGGGGTCATGCCGTCTTCGGTCAAGAACTGCTGACCCCTCAGCGCGGCGTGGGCGGGGGCGCCGGTAAATAACCCGTCGTGAAATGGGCCAACGCGGTGAAAGAGGTAAAAACAAACTCACTGATGTGAACCCAGCCTCTCACACCCCCACCAGCCGGTGGCTGATGCGGGCGGCCCCTAGAGCACGCACTAGTGGGGGGAGCCTGTCCCACCAGGGGCCGCCGCCCTGCAGAAGACAGTTCTGACGGTTTTCTGGGGGTCCCCCTCACGCAGAGGGGCTGGCAGCGCAGGAGCGCGAGGCCCACGGGAAAGTGGTAGGAGGCAGCGTCACTGGCCTCACGCCGAGTCTCACGCACGGTACGGTTTCCGAGCTGTTATGCTGATCACCGTTACCGAGACAGCCCGCACCGAGCACCTGCTGTGGGGCTGCTGTGGTGGGGAGAGCCCAGAATTTCACCGCCCCGGCACCGGGACGCGCCCCGGGGCACGTGGCTGTGCACTTTCCGCCCAGGAGGGGTCAGCAATGAACAAAGTACGTTTTTTCAGACAGATTTGACCTTGGATTACAAGAAACGGACCTTAACTATGCAGACCACCAGATGAGTAAGTTTGCTAAGGAAACACACGAACACGTATTCCCCTAAAACACTGTGATCTGCACGAAGCAAACTGCGGGGCAGACACGATCCCGAGGGCTCCCCAGCGGGACCCAGACCGAGCCCGCCCGCCCCGGCCTCGGCGCCCCACCAGCAGAGTCCGGGGGGAGGGGGCAGCCCGCTGGCCCCCAGTCCCCGCCAGGCGCTCCTTCCCGCCTGCGCGTCCCCCCCCCCCCCACCGGCACTCGTCACAAGGTCCTGCGCTCGCTCCTGGCTCCCACGGTGCCCCGCCGAGCCCCCACTGCCACCCACTGAGCCTGGCCACCCGTGTGTCCCACCAGCGCCGGTGGCCCTGCTGGCACTCGGTGACGCCGCGTTTGACAGACGGACAGACGGCACCTTGAAACCGACGCGGTCCGACAGCCCCGCCCCCTCCCCTGAGGGGCTCAGAAGGGGCAGCGGGGCCACAGAGAGGACACCGCAGGGCCGATGGCACCCGCCGGCGCCCGGGGTGCCGGGGCTCAGGGGCAGGCCCGCGGGGCGCGGGGGCAGGGGAGGAGCAGGCGCCCCGAACGCGCAGACGCAGACTCACCAATCGATCAGGTAGATGTCTGGAGTTAGATTGTTTTTCTTGAAGTGAGCAAATAGCTTCGGCAAGTTTTCTTCAAAGAATACCTCAAACGCAGCAAAATAAGTCAACATCTGGGGAGAGGACGGGAAAGACACGAATAAGCTCATCACCAGCGCACGGCCGGCAAAACGAGGTCCACGCGCACCCACCCTCCGGCCGGGACCGCCGGCGCGGGCGCACAGGCCGCCTCCGCCAGGGCATGGCTCACCCCGCCACCCTGCTTGCTGCTCGCCGGTGCCCGCGCTCCCGAGACCCTGGGCTGCCGACGGGCTGGCCGCCATGGCCTGCGTCCAGCAGGTGTGTCGGCGCCACCGTACCCACAGGCTCCGTGGTGGGCAGCTGTGGGCAGCTCACTGAGGCGCTCCGTAACGAAGGCAGACGCTGCTCTGCAGCCCGCGTGGCCGACGGCAGCCCGGGGCGAGCAGCACTCGGCCTGGGCACTGGGAAACCGGATGCTGGGGCCTGCGCTGCCATGCACCGCAGTGTCTCTGAGTCCGCCTGCCGACAGTCACCAATCTCCACGGTGACTCCCCTCGCTGCACCTCGCCATCTCCTCCACCGACAAACACAGACGCCGGGCCCAGCCACTGGGACGCGCACCCACTTCCGTCCCTCCCTCCGCGCCGCACCCTTTCCCGAGAACCAGGAAGGAATCACCCGGGTGACACGCAGGCCTCCCACCCACCCTGAGCGCACCCGGCGGGCGGTGACCCTGGCGTCCGGGCACGGTGATGCCGCCCTGGCTTCAGGAGGCAGTGATGGAGGGAGCGCCCGCGGAGAGTGAGCGGTCCGGTCGCCGCCCCTGGTCCACCAGCACAGGCTTCCCTGCCACCCAGGGCCCGTGGGAGACCGGGGCGGGGCGGGGTGGGCCAGGGTGGGGTGTGCAGAGGAGGCCACCACTGCGCTGGGCGCGGCCCCGGCTGACAGGGTTGCAGCCCAGGTCTGCCCCACCCCCACCGGCTACGGGCAAGTGCGGCTCCTGGGTGCTGCCTGCTCGTCTCAGCGAACGGCCGTCCTGCAAACCAGGGCTTTCAGTGGGGCAGGTGGACTTCCCTCCCAGGGTACTTCCAGCAATGACTGAGGACACTTCTGGTCGTCACAGCTACGGGGGAGGTGCTGCTGGCACCCAGGAGAGGCCAGAGAGGCCAGAGGCCAGAGAGGCCGTCGGACGTGGGGGAGAGCCCCACCTACCCCGCCCTCACCCGGTGCCGGCAGGGGCCCTACCGCGGGAGACCTGCTCCAAACAAAGGTCCCGTTCAACATCCCAGTGCTGTGGGTTTTCTGCAATAATTGGGCCAAATTATTTTTTTTTTTAAGATTTTGTTTTCTTTCAGAGAGAGGAGAAGGGAAAGAGACGGAGAGGGAGGGAAACACCATTGTGTACGAGAGAACAGCTGTCCCTCACGCGCCCCCAAGCGGGGACCTGGGCCGCAACCCAGGTCTGTTCCCTAGACGAGAAACGGAATTGGAGACCTTTTGGTTGGCAGGCCGGCGCTCAATCCGCTGAGCCCCCCTGTCCACTGAGCCACAGCAGCCAGGGCACCAAAATTCTTAAGCACCGTTCTTATCATTTGTTGCCAAAGAGAAAGCTGGGGCCTTATCTTCAAACGAGGAGCTGCTCGGCCGTAAACCGTGACGGCAGTGTCTGGGAACGCCCACCGGCACCACCGCCGCGGCAGCGCGCCCTCTCGCAGCCGGCAGTGGGGGCCCGAGGGTGCCTGTCCCACCCCTGCGCGTCTGACAGGGGCCGGCGCACGTCCTCAGTGCTTCTCCGCGGTGCGACCCCGCGAGCACCACCGCCGCCGCCGCGCCGGGGCACCCCTGGCCCCAGTCAGCCCTTCTGCGCGCCCCACACCCGCCTGCACAGGCTCCCACTTCCACACTGAAGCGCGTTGTTAAATCACTGCTGAGCAATCACAGATGTCCGGGCGACGACCCGCGGGGTGCCGTGCTCTGCCCACACTCGGACCCCTCAGACGCGCAGCAGCAGAAGCGCACACCAGCGCCGCCGCGGAGCGCTGCTGACACGGGACGCCACACCTCCGCCGGACGGTTCCGCCGCTCGTCCTTCCCCTGACAGCCGCCCGTCGAGCGGCGGTTTCTAAACACGCGTTTAAAGACGCGCACGCACTGCCCGAGCAGGAAGCACTGAGGGGCCCCAAAGACACCACGCGGGGGAAACGCCCCAGCTGACCAAAACCCTCGGATCGCCCGGCCTTCGGGTCCCGGCGCCGCCGCCGCCCAGCCCACCCCGTCGGCAGGTCGAGGCCACGCCCACTCCACGGATGGCGCGACTGTGGGACCCGGACCACGGGGGGCTCCGGAAGCCCAAGGGGCAGCCCTCAGCTCCTCCCCTGGCCAGCGGGGGGCCACGAGCAGGTGCCAGCGTGCAGAGCCTCGCCTCCCCGTCCTCGTGAGCACGTGTGGGGCCTCCTGGGCCACAACGCTCGCTGTACAGACCACCTGGCACGAAGGGGGGGCTGAGTACGCAGAGCCCCTCCGTCCGCCCGGGGCCTGCAAGAGCGCCCCTGACCCACGGACGCTCTGTCCCAGGACGGAGCTGGCCGGACACGGGCCCCCTGGCCCGGGGAGAGGGAGCCGCGCCGGGCAGCGTCCGGGTGCGCCAGCGAGCAGCCGGAGTGTGCTGTTACACTGTGTCCCACGAGACAGACACAAGCACGGAGACGGCCCCCACCCGCCGTGTGCGTGTGTCTGCAGGAGCCCCTCCCCCCTTGCGCGCAGACGTGTTTTTAGAGACGCTTCCTGAAGCGTGTGTTCTGAAGCTCATACGTAAGTCTGTGACCGCATGTTCTTAAAGATCAGCACGGTGCCCAAGTAACCCTCCACCTTCCGCGGCGCCATTTACTCTAAGCCCCTCTCGGGAGAGGGGAACGTGCTCTCCACCCCACCCCACCCCCCCCGAACACACAGAGGCTCCGGTAACTCCTGCTGCGTGGGGGGCACACACACGGGGGCACTCACACACGGGGGCACTCACACACGGGGCACTCACACACGGGGCACTCACACACGGGGGCACTCACACGGGGGCACTCACACACGGGGGGCACTCACACACGGGGGCACTCACACGCGGGGCACTCACACACGGGGGGCACTCACACACGGGGCACTCACACACGGGGGCACTCACACACGGGGGCACTCACACACGGGGGCACTCACACGGGGGCACTCACACACGGGGGGCACTCACACACGGGGGCACTCACACACGGGGGCACTCACACGGGGGCACTCACACACGGGGGCACTCACACACGGGGGTACTCACACACGGGGCACTCACACACGGGGGTACGCTCACACACGGGGGCACACACACAGGGGTACTCACACACGGGGGCACACACACAGGGGTACTCACACACGGGGGCACACACACACACGGGGGCACTCACACGGGGGCACTCACACGGGGGTGCTCACACACGGGTACTCACACACGGGGGCACTCACACACGGGGCTCACACACGGGGGTGCTCACACACGGGGGTACTCACACACGGGTACTCACACACGGGGGCACACACACACGGGGGTACTCACACGGGGCGCACACACGGGGGTGCTCACACACGGGGGTGCTCACACACGGGGGTACTCACAAGGCCGTGGTCCACTCGGAAGAACGCCATCTGACAGGGTTTATTCAAGAGGTTGGAAAACGCGATGAAGGCATCTGCAGTGTCCAAGTTCAGGATCAGCACTGCGGCGATGAAGGACATGCCCTGGACCTGCGGGCGGGGGGGGGGGGTTGTTACATTGGGAGGAGCCCACACAGTGGATGAGAAGCCCCCCGCCTCAACCGTCCCCCCACCCCCCACGCTGGGCCGACAGCCTCGGCGCTGGCCGGTCGCGCCAGGACGCACTGCTGCGCCACCCCGGTGGCCTCATCTGCTCTCCTTCGCCCCACGTCCCGAGTCCCCGCGTCCCCAGGCACCTGCCGCCCGAGACCCTGCCCCAGACCGCAGTCCCTGGGCCCGAGAGACCGGCGTCCGACAGCGGGTTAGCCCCGGGCCAGGCGCACAGGTGTCCGCTCAGCCGCAGACAAAGCAGCAGCGCGGCTTTAACACGATTACTGCCGAAGCTTTTCATTTAATGCTAAAAGAACCACATGCAAAAACCGGAAATCACGTTGAATTACAACGTGACAAGAGCCACAGAGCGGCCGTGTCCATGCAATTTCTCTGCAAGGGAACAGGCAGCTCAGGGCCACGGGGCGACTCCTCCCCGACCAAGACCGGGGCGTGCACCCCGAGCCCTGCCGCTAGGATGTGCGGGCGCCGTTCTGACTTCCTCTGTGGACGACAACGTCACACGTTACTGGAGAGGTTCACTTACATAGCCCACATCCGGTCGGTAGCAAGTGTAAGCGCCCAAAATACTGTGCAACGTGTCGTGGTACGGGCCGCCCTGCAAGGAGCAACACGGGGAGGGCACATGCAGAGTCTTGTTAGTGCTCAGGACGAGCTCCGCGCGGCCCCAGCCCCCGCCCCGCCCCGCCCCCCCACGAGCTGCGCGCGGAGGAGGAGCTGGTCGCCAAGCACGTGCCAGCGGCCCTGCGCTACTGCGGGACTTGGCCAGCGGACCACCGGCCCGGTCAGCCGGGGGCCCGCAAGTCGATCTACCGAGCTGCCCGGAGAAGCTGGTGGGTCAGGTACGGGCACCTCGCTGGAAACGTGCCCTGAACCTGGTTGGCTCTTGCTGCGTAACTGCACCTCCTTCAAAGGTCAGCGGGTGACCAGGGCCCCAGGGTCCTCCTGTCCGAAGCAGGTCCCTGCTGACCGCTGTCAGGCGCCAACAGCGCCGTCCTCAAATGCCCGCAGTAGGTCTGCACGGCTCGTGTCTCCCCGCTCTCCACCCCCCTAGTTTTTCCGTATGGCACACCTGGGAGACCTGGACCCGCGGGACCCGCGGACGGAGGGAGACTCACACAGAGAGAAAGAGAAGAGCCGTCTGCCCCAAACCCCACCCAAAGGGGGACCTCTAAGCTGCTCTTCCCCTTTCTACAGGGAGATCGTCACCCAGTGACTCCCAAAGTCGACGAGGCTGAGCTCCCAGGGGACGCTCCACGGGCCATCTGGGCCGCGGGTACGGGCAGGGCACTGCCCCCTCCGGACCCAGTCCCTGGGCCCCCGCACCCTGTCCTCCAGAGCAGCACGCCCGCAGCCGGCCCCCAGCCCACACAGAGCGGCCGGCGAGGAACCAGGGGTCCCCCACCCCCTCAGGGGTCTGATGCTGCCATTCTAGCCCTTCTGCCTGGAATGCCCTCCCGTCTCCGGCAGACAGGCCTGCTGGTCTACCTGCTTAGACACCCCAGAGGTGGCCAAGGATTCCGCCCGGCGCCGGCCCCCCCACCCTGGCCGGAGCACATGGAGCTCATCCTCCGAGGGGGCGGTCCTGGCCGCCGAGGCAGCCCCCAGGGCCGCACGGGCAGACGGGGTGCACACGGGGCCTCGCCGGGCCCCAGGGAGGCTCCTGGTGCGCCTGCTTCGAGCGCAGAGCTGCGGCCGAGGGCGGACACACGGCCGCAGTGAGAGTTTGCTGGGAGGCACCAGCGACTCCGGTTCTCGCCGCGGGAGCGTGAGACCCTCCCTCCCTCCCTCCCTCCCTCCGCCACGCCTCCCCGCAAAAGCCCACGCGCTTTCCCCCACTTGCTGACGCATGTGCGCAGTCTGACGCCCGTGACTGTTAGACAAACACACTTGAAAGTAACGAATCAACCACCTACCTGCTGGAAGATGCAGAGGTTAGGGAATGTCCTAGAAATGTCCAGTTTAATAAGCTCCAGACTAGCTTCTCTGTCCGCCGCTGAAAACCCAGCATCTATCAAAAGACGGAGAGTGGTCACACTTCGCGGAGGCAGCACACGGCACCACTCCCTCGCCGGCTCGGCGGCCTTGCAGCCATGAGGCTGGGAAACTCTCGCGCAGACACGGCCGCATCAGCCCCGGAGCCAGGCGTCCGTCTGCAGAGCCCCGTCCTCTGAGGGCAGACGCCAGGGAGGGCCCTCCCTCCGGGGAGCAGCCCACGCCATCCCCCCACACTTCCTTCCCCGGGGGCAGGGGGCAGCTGGCAGCCTGCCCCCGGCTGAGACCCTGAAGGCGCCCCCAGACCCCCTGCTCCGACTTCCCAGTGAGCAAAGGCGCTGGCGTGGGCTCTGCTGCTGCTCCCCTGCGCCAAGCCCTCACCGGCTTTACCGTCCCCGGCTCTAACAACCGCGCCCTCGCAGGGACCCAGGAAAGGAGGAGCCAAGGTCGCACCGCAGCGCCTAACGCTAGATCACCCTCGGGTGCTCCCTCGAGTCTGAGCGGAGCTGCACTTGCCAGCGCCTTTCCCCAGCGGCGGGCGGGCAGGGGTCCCGAGGCCGAGGAAGGGGACGCGCCCACCGCGACCGGAGGGCCAGCAGACACGAGCACCCGTCGCCGTCGTCCTGTCCGGGGCGCACCGCTGCGTGTGTGGGACCCTCCAGCAGCGTGGCCGAGGGACAGGCACGCACTCCTGGCCCCTGGCTCACGAGCGTGCGTGAGTAGTGTGGGCTGTGCCTCTCGGGCTTTTGAAACACCAGGCAGACGGTATTTTAAAAGGTCAGCAAAAGAGACACTACCCGGTCCTGGCCGGGTGGCTCGGTCAGTTGGAGCATCACCAAAAGGTCGGGGGTCTGACTCCTGGGCAGGGCCCACGCCTGGGCTGTGGCCGGTCGGAGCACGCATGGGAGACAGCCGACTGATGTTTCTCTCTCTCTGCCCCGTCCCCTCTCCCGAAAAGTCAGGAAAGACATCCTTGGGTGAGGAGCAAAACCAGGAGAGATACCACTGAACCAGCACAAGCGTCGTGCTCGCGCGCTGTGGGGGACTCGAAAAGCGCCATCTAGCAAATGCGATGCATGGTGTCGTCGGAGGCAGCGCCCATGCTCCCCTGAGGCCGACGCTCGGGCACCCATGGGTGCCGGGTTGCTGCCGGTCTGGCGGATGTGGACGAGGGAAGCCACGGTGATCGCGGCCGGCCCTGCGGTGCGCAAGGACGCAAACCCCTCGCAGGACCCGGCATGTGCTCTTTCTCAGAGAAGTCCTTCTGCCCCGGCTGGTGGGGCTCAGCGGACTGAGCACCGGCCGGCAAACCAGAGAGTCACCAGTTCGACTCCCAGTCAGGGCACACGCCTGGGTTGCGGGCTGGGTCAGGTCCCCAGCAGGGGGCACGTGAGAGGCAACTACATAGTGATGTTTCCCTCTCTCTCTCTCTCTCTCTTTCCCTCTCTCTAAAAAGTAAATATTTTTTTAAAAAGTTTTTCTTTTTTAAAAACTTGTTTGCTCTTAAAAAAAATAAAAAAACTTTTCCATGAAGCTTTTTGTGACTCTGCAGCAAGCGCGGCCTCGGTTAAGCGCCTGTTCGTCTGTTGTTAGGCGACAGCGACACCCCCCCCCAACCCCTGAGCGGGGAGCCCCGGCCTCAGTGGCACACGTACCTTCACTCTCCGCCTCGGGGCCGCCCGCGCTGAAGGACCGCCACCGCTCCTTGGCTCGGGCGAGACAGATGTCGAAGAGCTCTGGAAGGGAAGCCCGGCTGAGCACGGCGTGCCCGGGGACGCGCTCCCTCCGAGCACCGGGGGGGGGGGCGCCGCTGCCTCTGGGGCACTCGGAGCCCGACCGCCGACTGTGCCCTCATTAAGGCCACGCGGGCCCCCAGCCCAGGCGGAAGAGCCCGCGGTCTGCAGGCCTCGCCGCGTGCGGGGGGAGCACCAGCACCGCGGCACCCGGCCTCTCCGCCCAGCACACCGCCCGCCCGGCGGCGGCGGTGTTTGCTTGCAAGCCCACCGCTCCCACCAGGCTGTGAGCTCCCCGGGGTGAGCCTGGGAGGGTCCCGCCGTCACACCTGCACCCAGAGCGGACAGACCGATGGCACCGAGGACGACCTGACTGGTGCGGGGAGGGAGAGGCCGGCAGAGGGCCTGCCCACCCCCGTGGCCCTGGGAGGGGCGGGGCCATGGAGAGATCGGGCAGGGACCCCGAAAAAGAGGGACTGTCGCGGCTGAGAAGTGTCAAGACGGGTCTCCCTCAGGTAACCCCGAAACCACCCCCACATTCACACACTCACAGACTTCGCCATCACACACAGGCCCGCGCCCCATTCTTCCGGGAGAACGAGCGTGCGACGGAGCCCACGCGGACTGCCAGGCCCCGCCCAGGCCCTGGAGCCTCCGGCCACGGGCTCTGCGGCTTCCCGGCCGCCCGGTGTCCCGCCCACCAACAACCGCGAGGACTCTGTCCGCCGCAGCTCCCGGGAGCACGCTCATCACCCCCCCCCCAGCCCCACTCCTGGAAAGCACGGCGCAGCCCGCCTGCCTCCGGGCAGTGCACACCCTTCCAGGAAACCGGAAGCCAGACCCCTCGTGCCCCCACAAGCGGAAGCGGGACTGGCGGCCCTCCGGCCCTGTGAGGGCCCCGCTCACAGTCCGTGCGCGTCCGCGCACAGGAGACGGCACAACCGTCAACCACGACTCCCGTCTGGCTTCCCACCGCCACTGTCACGCAGGAGGCGGCCCGCATCCCAACGCCCGTGCTGCCGAGGGCGGAGCCGCCGGCCGCAGGGCCGGGGCCTCTCACTGCCCTCGGCCTCCGGGAGGAGGGCTCAGCCTGGGCCATTTCGGCAGGAAAGGAAGGAAAACAACCGTGAGGCTCGACGCCTGGGAGCCACTTGCCAAAGGCCGTGTGTGACAGCTACTGTGCAGGTGTCGCCGCCTCAAGGTGAACGGGGTGCAGGAGCCGGAGCTCTGGGACACCCGGCTGCACCGGTGCGCTGGCCGGGGCGGGGGCTGTCAGAGCGGGGAACGCCTTCCTCCCAGGCCCCCGGGAGGGAGGCGGTAACGGTGCGACCAGGGGGACCTTCAGGGTTCCCGGCTGCAGAGCGCAGCTCAGGGCTCGGAGCCGACAGAACCACCTGCACAGGGGCCCTGGCTCCGCCCTCGGCCTTCCTCAGGACGCCCACCTGTCTCAGCAGGAAAAGGCGGCCACGGCACCTGCTGTCCACGTGCAACAAGACACATCGGTGAGGCACCTACCACGACGCTGGCGTGGACGTCCGGCCTGCACAGCCACCTGTACTCTGTGCTGGCTCACACGCGTCGCAGGGCGGGGACGCGGAGGGGGCCGGGGAGGCGGCACGCAGCTGGCTCAGTCTGAGCTGTTGACAGTTTAGGAAACTTCCGAGAACAAGGACGAGAACAACTGACCGGCCGTGTCTCCAGCCTCTACTTCTAGGAGGGCTTTTAAAACCCACGCGTGTGCACACGGTAAATGGCATGCTTCTCAGGCAAGGACCCCCAGTTTTTGGCAGGCACAGGTCAGCCACAGGTGGAGCTCTGAGGAGCTCACTCTCCACACGGGCCAGTCACCGTGCGCCCCACCAGCTGGTGGGGCTCGGACGGAACGGGCCGACGGGCCCGGTGCCCATCCCGGTGGAGACCGTGACGGTACGAACCCAGTGCCCAGAGAAGACACAGATCAATCTGCTTTAAACCCAAGGCCTCCACTGCCACCCCCGACTCCACAAGCACTTGCTGGGTACAACTGACACGGAGATAACGAGGCAAGAGCCTCCACCCCCCCCCCCCCCCGCAGACAGGGAGGGAAAGCACAAAGCCACAGCTACTCGGGACTCAGCACCTGGTCGCAGCCCGTGAGCCCCCGGCCTGGGTCTCACCAGACACAGCTCGGGGCACAGAGCGGGAGGGAGCAGGGCATGCGGGGGGAGGAGGGGCACACGCAGACGGAACGCACGCGTGTGGCCAGACGGCCAGCCCGCCCCAGCACAGGTGAGTCCGGATGTCACCTCCCCGCCCACACCTGAGCTACCAGAATCTCAAGCACCCGTCGAGGGCGCTATGTTGACCCCACCCCGTGCCGGCAGAGGTGCTTACTGGGAAAAAGGCTGCCATCGGCCAACAGAACCCCGAACACAGCCCGTACCTCTCCTCCCTTCCCCCGTGTCCCGGCCAAGGCTTGCTCTCCCGGAGCTCAAAGGAGAAAGCCCAACAAACTCCGCCCACTGATGCTATGGCCGTGACACCACACCCACAGGTGCTGCCGCAGCCCCTCCGGGCAGCTGGCAGGTGCCAGGGAGAAGGCCAGCGACCGCTCTGAGCCGCCGGGGAAATGAGGCGCCGGCAGGGAGCCCGGGCCCTCCAACGGCCCCCCGCCCCGCCCCGGGGAGGACACGGTCATCGGGCCTCTTGAGGGTCACAGCCGCACGGCAACGCTTCCCTTTCCTCCTGCCGGCGCAGGCAGGACGGGGGACGCCCCGGGACCCACGGGGAGGGGTCCCCGCGCCTACGGTCACCCAAGCACTCACCGTGGGTGATGTTCAGCTCGTTGCCGATGGCCAGGCTCCAGACCTTGCCTCTCACGCTGGGGGGGATGCCCTGCCACCACAGGTCCCGCACTTTCCTGGAGCTCCACCTGGGCACCAAGCAAGCGCGCGGCTGTGAGCGTGCCGTCACTGGAGCAGCGTCTGCCGGGCGCCCGGCCCCGACCATGGGGGCAGGGCGCGCACTGGAGCACACGGGGAGACGGCCGGGGCCTCTGAGGACCTCCCCCCTCGTCACCGGGTCCCACTGGAGGAAAAGGCTGTTCCCTGACCGCGCCCGCCCGGCCCGCTCAGTAGAGGCGCTGCCTGGAAAGGCCGGTCTTCCCAGCGGGCGTCCTCAGCGGGGCCATCTGACCCTGTGATGAGGGTGAGTGGCACCCAGGGAAGTGCCAGGAGGGAGGCCGCCCCATCCCGCAGGTGGTTCAAGCTGAAAGGGACACGTGAGAAGGGAGCTGGGCACCCACACTCCCAGCGGCCCGTGCTGTCCACACACCGCCCCCTGCGTCCTGAACCACGCTCGGGGAGAAATGTCCACAGCTGTCCCTCGGGTGTAAGGATGACAACAGCTGCCAGACTGCAGGGGACTGGCCCCAGGGGGCCGTCCTCAGACAGAGGACAACTGGAGCAGCGTGTCCGGGGCGTCTCCTCCACCAGTCACCGGGGCAGGAGGTCTTCCCCACGAAGACTGAGCTACAAAGCAGGAGCTCCAGGGCAGGGAAGGAGTTCAAACTCTACGCCACCACAGGCCTGGGCGTCAGAGACCGCCCTGGCTGCTGGGCAGAAGGCGAGCTGAAGAGGTAGGGAAGCTGTGGCAGGACAGGTGAGGCACGGTGGGGCCTGAGCCACGGCAGGGCAGCTGACTCCAGGTCACGCCACCAGAGGCGGCACGGGGACCCACGGGCAGCACGGCCGCCAGCAGAGACCCCAGGGACGAGCGTCTGGAGCGGGGGCGCCCCCCCCCGCCCGCCCCCAGGCTTACACGGTCTCCCAGTGGGGCAGGACCTCGTTGTTCCAGGTCAGGGCCGCGTTGCCGATGCTCTCCTCCAGCCTGCACCTCTCCTCCAGCTGCTTCTTCCTCCGCCGGGCCTCCTTCAGCTCTGCGGGCCGCGCGGGGGACAGAGGGGGACACGCCTGTCAGCGGGGCTCCGCCGTCTTCTCAGAGTCACGTGGCTCCGGCCCCCGGAGAAGGACACTGGCGGAGGGCGAGGGGGCCCTCCCCGGACCCGTGTCCGCCACGCGGGGCTTAGAACGCTCGGGCGCGCTCCGCCTCTGAGCGGGCCTTCCCGGCAGGGCGTCCCACAGAGAGGTGCACGGATAACACGCGGCCCATCACCGCGGGGACAGACCCACAACCGCCACCTCGGTCGGACACCAGGAGGCGCGAGCAGCCCCCAGCAGCCCCCAGCAGCCCCTGCGCCCGCCCGCCCGGGCCCCGCCCCCTCCCAGCACGAGCACCGCCCCCTAGTGCCCGCCGGCAGCTCCGAGAACACCACGCATTCAACCCACACACACGTCCTTGAGGTTTTGATTGCGGTAAAACGCACAAAACATGCAATCGACCATTTGAACCGTTCTAAGCACACGATCCGTGGCATTAAGCGCCTTCACGACGTTACACGGCCAACGCCAACGTCAGCTCCGGAACGTTCTCATCCTCCCCAAGGGGAGCTGCACCGCCTGAGCTCTAACCCCCCACCGCCCCTCCCCCGCCCGGCGACCGCCGTCCCGCGCTCCGGCTCTGCGGCTCCGCCCACTCTCAGGACCCGTGGAAGCGGGACCACACACTGCCTGTCCTTCGTGACCCGGCCCATGTCACCACGCCGACACAACGTCCCGAGGTTCACCCATGTTCAGGCATGTTCCAGGATTCCCTTACTTTTATTTTTTGGTAAAGATTTTATTTATTTTCAGAGAGAGAAGGGAAGGGAGGCATAAAGAGAGGGAGAGAAACATCAGTGTGAAACACACTGATCGGCTGCCCCTCGCACACCCCCTACTGGGGACCTGCCCGGCAACCCAGGCCTGGGCCCTGACTGGGAATCGAACCCGCGACCTTTCAGTTCACAGGCCAGCGCTCCATCTGCACCAGCCAGGGCGAGGATTCCCTTACTTTTTAAGGCTGAGAAACACTCTACTGTGTGGAGAGGCCACATCACGCTTATCACGTTCCCTTTCCACACACCCCCAAATCACAGGCTGTCACAGGGGTTTTTCAAGTCCCCTCACACCTGGTAAAGGAGGAAGACTGGGCCCGGGGGGAGAGGTGCACCTACCACTGCAGGCTGGGGCTTCCTCAGATCCAGCACGTCCCCCTAAACCCGCGACTCCCAACCCTGTTCCTCCCACGGCACACGTGAACAAAGCACCGAAATTCTGCGACACACCACAAACAGTACGTCCTGCCCATCTGCCGGGAAAGTGTGACCCAGCGGGGCCCACGCACGCCAGGTGGCTCGTGCCGTGCCGACTGCCGCCAGGCCTGCACCCGACGGTCCGGGGAGAGGCCAGTGCCCCGGACCGGTCGTCATGACAGGCCAGTCGTCGTGAGCGTGCCGCGAACGTCCTCGCAGCCACGGGCGAGCGCCGCCGCCCCGGACAGCCCGCCCCCTTTCCAGGGCGAGCCCAACACGTCATTACTCCCCTGAGTCATGTCACCGGGAACGGTGTTAGCAGAAGCACACGTTTTTGGTGGAAAATCACACATTTCAACACACGAGAGCATTCAGCGCAGCTCAGGTGCCGGAGCTCCAGACGGGGAAGAGAAAACACCGGGAAAGACACAAGATCCCGTGCCGTATGGAACCGCACACACACGCGTGGGAGCGAGCGCCATTACCTCGCTTCTTGGCCTGGACCACCATTTCTTCATACTGCTGTCGGTGTTTCTGGGCCTCTTCGGCTGGCTTCGCCGGGAGGTTTCTGATGGGAAATACATGATTTGTTGATGTCATGAATAGCAAATAAAATTGTTTGAAAAGCAAAACCTGAAGCGTTATTTACTAAAAAAGTTGGAAAGCCTAAAGACGGAAAACTAAACACGCTAAGGTGACAAGGACACAGCTCTTTCATAAACAAACTGTTTTCTTACAAAAGTAAAATGAGCTCGTGGAGAAAAACTTGTAATAAAAAAATGAGCAGAAAGAAGAAAACAACAACTGCCCACAATCCCAGACAGAGATGAACGCTTCAGATGCCTTCCTCCTGCTTCTGAAGATGCCCCCAATGGACACCGGCGCACTGACAGCGGCCGGCGGCACCTGGGGGAGGGGCAGGGGGAGGGACCCCACCAGCGAGGCTATCTCAGCACAAACACAGCTGCTGGCTGGGCCGTCAGCCGGTGTCATGCCAGCCACGCGGGCCGTCGCTCCGTCTTTGTTTTGTCTGTCTATGCGCTTATTTTTAATCCCCGCCCGAGGGTTTGTTTTTGTTGATTGCAGAGCGAGAAACACCGGTCAGCTGCCTCCTGCACGCGCCCCGCGTGGGCGTTGAGCCCGCCGCCGTCCGGTGCGCGGGGCGCACCCGGCAGAGCCCGCCGGGCAGGGCCCGCTCACCGACAGGCTCACCGTCACGCACAAACGTGCACCCCAGTTCCAAGCGCGTGCACGTGACGGGCAACCACAGCTCCTGGGGAATAGAGCTCGCGCCCCCTTTGAGAAGCGTGCAGCCCGCCCACAGGCCGACGCCCGCGGAGGGACTCGCCGGGAATGCCTGTCCCTGAAGACCCGGGACGCCCCAGCTGGCCGGTGCGGCACCGTCTGCTCCGCAGCAGCAGCACCGGGGCGTCCCCAGGCCCCCCGGGCTCCAGGACCCGCTGCTGGGGTCCGCGTACAGTCACAGGCCAGTCTACAGTCTTTAAAGAGCTCCTTAAGTATTTTTAAATGCCAAATTAAAATGGAAAAAAAAAAACAAAACCAGGGAATAAAGAGGAACCTAGCGTCTTTGACGAGTCTGCAGCGTACTCTCCTTCCCCCCACCCCTCCTTAAGGAAAGCCCACTCGCCGCCAAGGCGCCCTCGCCCCCGCCACGTGCGCCCCGCGGGCCCCGGACTCACGCCGGCCGGTCTTCCAGGATGAGGGCGGTGGTGGACAGCGGCTCGAAATCGAGGTTCTTCCTCACATTCTGCTTCGGGGAGGGCGGCTTGCGAGGTGCTCCCGCCTTGTCTTCATATTCCTAGGGCAGAGGGGCGGGGTGAACGCGAGACCAGGCCCCTCGGACGGGACGGGGCCCTCCGGGAAGCCCTGCTGGAGGCAGGAGGGTGTTCCGTCGCGCAGTCCTTTACGGCCATTCCGAGGACCGTGGGCTCAAAACATCTCCTGCCATTCAAAGGCGAGAAATGCCCAGCAAAGGGGTCAGACCGCTCTGGGGGTTAGGCCATGGCTGGCCGTGTGAGCACAGCGGACCCCCACGGTGGTGGGGAGGTTCCCAGGGGCCGCGCTGTCCCGGGTGCCCGCGGTGCTTCCCGAGGGCCCACGGGCACTGCCTCGGGCCCCCGTGCTGCTCCTGGGGCGGGGCCGCGCTCCCTGGACACGCTCAGCTCTAACTGATGCTCGCAGCAGCCGCTGGGGATCTCAGAGCCAGGCCGGGAGCCGACGCAGGCACTCAGCGGGCCCCTGGCCTCGCCTCACACACAACCCCCCCAGCCCCCCCCCGGACCTCTAACCCACGTCCCTGCATCCCATCTGAAGGACACGTGTTAGCCCTCTAAACCTCTCCTGGAATGGGGAACGGTTTACCATTTTTTACACGAGGATGATGAAAGCCGTTTCATTTCCTTAAACCAGAAGCATCAAAAAAGAAACCGTGAACACCTGTGCGTGAAACCGTCCTTGCAGGTCATTACGGAAACAACCACACCGTGCCCTGGAAACGCAGAGGCAGCCCCGCTGCGGCCGGGTCATGGACGCTCAGCCACGCCGGCTGGCCCACGGCCCAAGCACGCCAGCCACCAGGAGAGTGCGGGAGGGCTGAGCGCGCCGGTGCCGCGGAGCCCGGCTCCTGGAACTGCGCGTGTGCAGGTGTGCGCGCCCTCAGCCCTCTCCGCAAGTTGAAAAAACTCACAACGCTTTCTCGTTGCCTGTTCTAGACCAGGCTCTGGGGCCTTCCCGGAGACAGGACAGTCCAGCCGGGAGACAGGACACACACACACGCATGCAGCTCACCGCAGACGGAAACGGCCGCTCCGGGTAACAGAAGCAGCACCGTGAGCAGAAAGTAACTAATTGTTAAAGGGGTGAATTACTGGCACCAGCGGCGAAGGGAGGGCTGCTGGTAAGATGATCCGGCAAGCCACTGTCCTCGGCCAGAAGAGCCTGCGCGGCTTCCACGCGCGGCAGGGAACCCCGTCCCCAAACAGGCAGGCGACGCGAGGGAGCGGGCGGCCGGGGCGGCTCCTGTCCTCCCGGATGTGCGACGCTGGGGGCCCCGACACGGCCGACCCGACTTCCCGGGGCGCCCCCAGAGCACTACGATGACCCCGCACCGACCGGACACGGATCGCAGGCGCCCTTTCCCTGCGAGTCGAGCGCCCGAGCACCTACGGGTGCCAGGCGCTCGTGCAACCCCGCCGGCCGCCCGGGAGCTCCAAACCTGGCGTCTGCGTGTCCAGGCCCCGGGTCTCACGGGAAACGCACGCCCAAAGCTGCGTGTCGAGAGCGAGTCCCGGCCCGCGGCGTCCGGACAAGAATCCGTAATGAGCGCCCCACGCGGTGCGGCCGGCTCGCCGCCCACCCTGGTCCAGCGAACCGCACTCTCCAGCCCGAAGGGGCCGGCGCACGGGCGGGACACGCCTGGAACCCGGACGCCCGCTTTACAGGCTCCTGCATGTGCTGCACACGCCACCACCGTCTCACTGTGAGTCCGAAACAAGCCCCGTGGCGCCAGGGTGGGGAGGCCGGGACGTGGGGGAGGCCACCGAGGTCGCGAGCACAGCCCCCGGGGCGGAGAAACGCCGCCCGGGTTGCTGGGGGCAGAGACGATGCTCTGGGGCCAGGCACCGGTGGGGGCCGGCGAGGCCCACGACGGCCAGCGAGGCCCACGACGGCCAGCGCGCACAGGGAAGGAGCAGGGGAGCGCACGGAAGGCCCGACTCGGGGCCGGCACGGCGGGCGCGCTGCCTGCGGCCGGGGCTCAGGAGCCCCCACTGACAGGCGGCGGCAGTCAAGGGCGTGAGACGCCGAGTGTGACGGCCCCCCCCACCAGCCTCTGAGGGAGAAGCTGCTCCCGTCCCCGTGTCCCGGGTGGGAAGGCCCAGGGACGAAAACGAGCCCCGCCTCTGGGGAGCAGGGGCCAGAGGCCCAGCACCCGGCTGTGCAGCCACAGTTCTCCCGGGCGGCCGCGCCCCGCACGGTCCAGGGTCGTCTCCTCACTCACACTCACGCTCCGTGCAGGAAAGCCCCCCGCCGACGACGACAGAGGCCTGGGGTGCTGTGTGTGGCGTGCGTGCTTCCACGTCAGCCGGACACGGCGCCGTGCGGTGTTTGACCTGCAGAGGAGGCCCGGCCCGGCCTGCCCGCAGTGGACCCCCCAGGGAACGCGCCCCCAACACTCGGGGCAGCGTTTCAGAGCCCGGGTGGCACCAGGAGCTGCTGCAGGCCCCGCCCCGAAGGCAGCTGTCCCACAGCCCCCCAGAGGTCAGCAGCGAGCTCAGCCTCCCCTCCAGACACACCCCCTTCAGAAGCGAGAAGGAGGGCCGTCCCCTCCGCGGACCCTTGCGGGGAGCAGGGACGGAGGCAGAGGAGAAGTCTGTGGGGAGACACAGGGTCAGCACGTGATGCGGCGGGTGCTAGGGCTTCGGAGGCAAAATCTCAGCTCCGAGTCCCAGCCCTTGACCTCAGGCACATCCTCGTGCTTCCGGCCGGGCCTCGGCTCCCTCGCTGTCAAGTGGGAGCCGCCGGGAGGGCCCCGGGACGACGGGAGGACGGGCGTCGACGGCCGCCCCCCCCCCCCCCGCCCCGAGGTCCCAGGCCTGTTCGGCGCCAGGCACCTGCGGCGAAGCCCTGGTCCAGCCCATCACTGCCACGTGTCTTCCCTGCTCCGGACCCCCACGGGGCGGAGTCCCCAGGTCCCTGGCGTGACCGATGTGACGGTGCCCGTCACCGTGCTCAGCAGGGAGGAGCCCTGCACGCGCATCAGTGCGAGCCGCCCGCCCAGACGACCGCAAGGGGTTCCAGCGCCCTGGTCACCAGGGAACTGAGGGCGGCGGTCCTCCGCGGTCTCGTGGCACCCCGGCGTACGTGGTCGGGCAGCACCCAGGAAAACCAGCACCAGCGCGCACACGGTGAGGCCCGTCTGTCTCGGCTCTGCGTCTCCAGCGGCCTGGCGGGGTGGGGGGCCGTCACGTCAAAAAAGCCCACAGGACACCGACTGGGAAGCACGGCGGGTCGAGCCCACGCCCCGAGCAGTCTGGCGTGCACCCTGCTGGAGGAGAGGACCGGCGCCAGTGAGACGGCGGCCAGCAGAGCACGCCGACTCCGGCCAGGGCCAGGACGTGGGGGTGGGCTGGCGGCCCGGCGAAGGGTCAGGGTGAACCGGGGAGCGAGAGGGGGAGCAAGTGAGCAGGCCCCAGCTCCACGCAGAGGCCACGAGCCAGACAGGCCGCAAGACCTGGCAGCGGGGGGAGGCGGGAAGGGCCCCGCCTGGGGGGGCCCCATGGGCCCGGCACGCCCGGAGACCCTCGGAGCCCAGCCTGTGAGTGCCCACTCCGGCAGGGGCAGGGGAGATGCTGGCAGAGGCCAGGAGTCCGGGCTGGCCATGGAAACCGCCCCCAGAGCGGGAGCTGCCGGCCACGGGGGCCCCGTGGGCAACCTCGGGCCGGCACACGATGCGGCCAGAGCCAAGGCTTTGGAAGCAAAACTGCAGCTCCCAGTCTTGGGGGCGGGCCGCCGACAGGGGGGGACAGAGGAAAGCGTCTGTCTCCCCGAGGCCGCCGGCCCGCACAAGCGGCAGCCAGGAGGCGCGCCGAGCGGGCCTGCGCCAGGGCTGGCAGGCACACCTTCGGCAGAGGGTGAGGCCGAGTTGTGCTTGCGACTCTCAGGCCGAGGGCCGACGGACAAGGAGGGCGCGGGGTCCGCCGCCGGCGTGGGATCCCAGCGTGCTCAGGCGAGGACGAGGGCGCCACACTCGCGGGCCAAGCGCCAAGAGCCCGGTCTGCCAGTCGGAAGAGAAGGCGGCCCACCTCGACGGGCGCGTGTTTTAAGAGAACAAAGAAGACCCCCGGGCTCTCCCACGATGGAGAGAACGCACTCCCGGCAGCCTGACTGAGGGGGGGGCGGGGGGGGGGCTGTGTGAGACCCGAAGGGATGCTGAGCCCGCTGCCAAGCTGGCCCGGGGAGGTCCCCCTGCTTCTGGGGGAGCTGCCTCAGCTGGGAGGGGGCGGGGGCATCCCTGGACACCCCCCGGCCTTGCGCCCCGACTCAGCTGTGTGCAGTGTCAAGAGGAGCCTCTTGAGGCCCCTGCTGGGGGGGGGGGCTCCGGAGGCGGGTCTGTGGTCAGGCACGGCAGGCCACCCGCCCCCCTCCGCCCCCCGCGGCACCTGGGAGAAGACGGCGAGGGCCAGCGTCCAGCACCAGGTGCCGGTGCACAGCCTGCCTGCGGGGAAGCGCGGGGGGAGGGCAGCCGGCCTGCGTCTGGACCCCCACAGCCGGGACAGCAGCCTGACCTTGAGCACATTCCCTGCCCCCGAGCCCGACTCCTCGCCTGCCAGGTGGGAGACTGAATGGGAGCGGGGCGGCGCACACGGACATGCGGCCGCAGCAGCACCCAGGCAGGGACAGGGAGTGCTGGTCACTGCCCTCGCGTTGCTGCAGCTGCTCTTCACAGGGCTCCCCCTAAGGGCACCCCACAGGGCTGAAGATGGGGGGGGTCCCGGACACCGTGGCCGCTGCACGCTGATATTTCTACCAGGCGATTCCGGGGGAGAGAGACTTTGCTTCCAAACCTGACGCGAGACCCGTTCTGTTTCACCGTCTTCAGCGGGGAGAGGGGCCTGTGCAGGTCTCACAAACGCCCGGCTTCCGGAAAGACGCCCCGGTGACCGTTGAGGCTCCGCCTCACACTAAGAAGGGCCCCTCAGGGAACCCCCGGGGGTCCTCTGACTCGGGTGCGCCCACCGCCCCCCAGGCACTGATCCCCCAGAAAGCATCCTCTGAGGGGCTGCGAGTGTCAGCGCTGGG